TCCTCTGGACCCTCTCGATGCTGTCCACATCCCTCCTGAAGTGCGGCACCCAGAACTGGACGCAGTACTCCAGCTGCGGCCTGACCAGTGCCACATAGAGGGGGAGGATCACCTCCTTGGACCTGCTTGAGATGCAAATGACTTGCAGTTGATGGATAATGGGAGAGTTTCCAAAAACTCTCTTATGAGTCTTACCAAGAGGTGTTAGCACCTTACCTCTCCTGACTGTATCACCTCCTTTTGATTAACCAGTTTTAGCACCCGTTGCTGAGCATATGAATGTGGATAACATGCATGTGAATGTGGATAACATCTCACATGCCTTGACCTCACAGCCTTGTCTAAACCCAGAGGAACGACCTGTAGCTGAGAACTGGTGTTAGCAACTTTTTGCATTTGAACCAATGCTAAAAACCACAGGCCAGATTGTGTTCCACCTATTAGGCATGTGAGTAGACTTGGATGCCTAAGTGCAATTCATATTCTACCTTCCTCACACCCCTGAAAAATGGCTCATGCAAAAAGTGCGTGGGTCTTCCTTCTTGTGGCAGGGACATGGTCCTGGCCCCTGCTACACTCCGCTGAAACAGCCCAGCGGGTGGGGGGAACTCACCTGTCTGAGTCCAGACATGTAGCGTGGCACAGGCAGCTGGGGGAGCACAGCTGCTGGCAATCGAGGAGCATGAGAACCCACGCTTTGGGGAACTGGCTCTTGTTGGCCCGTGGCTGGCAGTGGGCAGTTTAAAGGGAGGACACCGAGGGAAGTCTGATGTTCAGCATCCCCAGGGAAAAAACCTGACCAGAGGCAGCAGGGAGGGGGAGGAACCCTGAAAAAGCAGCCCAGCACACCGGACCCCCAGCAGCTGTGGAGATTGGGGCAAGCCCTGAGGACAGATTGATCTTTCTGCCCCCAAGAGATAAATAAACAGGGAGAAAGGGGAAGGATGGAGATCCTGTACTTGCAGAAGCCCGAGCTGGTAATCCAGGGGAATGATGCCCATGAAAAGTGTTTGGGCCAGCCCATTGAGGCAGTAGGGCATGGGAGAAAAAGAGAGCAGATTAGTTTGTGGAGGCAAGCAGGGACAGAGGTGATCCTAAAGCCGCCAGCATAAAGAAACAGAGTATATGCGTCCTGTTGGTGAGCGAAGAACCGAGCAGGCGCATGCTGGCAGCACAGACCCAGAAGTGGGGAGAAGAGCCCCAAGGGAGGTACTGGTTAATTTTGAGTTATAAAAGAACAGAGTGAGAGAGGACCTGGCTAGGGTCCCCATCTTTGATTTAAATCCCTCTGCACTAAGAAAGAGGGAGGGGAAGAACCCTTTGCCCAACGATTTGATTTAAAGCTAAAAGGCGGGAAGATGCCTAACAAGCCCCAAAGAGGATAACTGAAGAGGTCAGAGGCAGAGGCCTCAAGACCTACAAGGGAAAACCCCAAGGGATCCCAGAGAGATAATGCTTCTTTGATTTGAAGAGAGTATTCATAGAGTGACGAGGCTGAGGAGGAACCAGAACGAGCTACTGCAAGCTGAAGATCGGACATAGAGAGAGAGAGGCCCGGATAGTCTCTGCTCACCATCCATGGAGAACAGTGACCATCCACCTGAGAGGAAAGGGCCAGGGTATATGGGAGGTTGAAGCCCTGCAGAAGATCCATGATGGGATCAGACAGACGTGCAAGCCAGAATGTCCATCCTCCCGGACATAATTTCCATCAAGTCATGGCAGGCAAGCGTGGGCGATACACTGCAGCATGAATAATGCAGCATGGTCCCAAGGAGAGAATACAACCTGCTCACACTCTACTTCATTGTTTTTTTTGTGTCTCAAATGTTAGATGATGTAGGGTTACAAAAATAGAGGAATTAATGCAAAAGGGGAGAAAAGAATCATACTTGGGTGGCTAAGTCCACTCAGATGTCCAATAGGTGGAATGGTATTTGTCCCTACATAGTAGAAAGCATGTTCACCTCAGCGTGAAAGATGGTAGTTAAAAAACTTAAGTAGGCTCAAATACTGAACACATCTGTCCTCATCTATACTTGTACTTGAGTTGTCTGACACCTTCAGTCTGTAATGGATAACTTTGCTAGCACAAATGAGGCGTAGTGGGTACTGTATCTTCTTGCATACCACACTCCCGCAAATAAGATAAAGCCCTTGTTTTTAGAAAGCAGAATGTAGAAGAAAACGGCAGCAAGCCTAGGCCCAGACTCTTGTAAGGGCAGAAGCAAATCTGCTACTGTATTCCTGTAAACAGTTATATAAATAATAAAGTTCTTATAAATAATAAAATGTTTCCACACCACAAGCCTCATCATAATATCATAGTCTGCATGCATTAGGTCCCTTGCCCTCAGCCATCTCAGTGGCTCTTCAGCCAAAAGCTACTGCCTCACCAGCAGCTGTGAGAGGGTTAACATTGGGCTCTGCCCCAGGGAGAAGTGGCAGCCACCTCGGTGGCCACGAGTCACAGCATCTGCTTGCTCTGCTCTGTCCTGTTTCTACTGCAGCAAAGAATATCAGCTTCCCTACTTAAGACGCACACCCCAGTTTGGGTGGGCTGATTTGGAAGGGAAACGGTGTATGTGGTATGAGAACAAATACGGTATACATGGACTATGTCTCATTATATCCTTTGCCTGTGCAACATAATAACCTTTCTTCATCAAGAAGGCTGACTGCTGAAGAACAGATACACACAATATCATTTTGTACTGTGCCTTTCACACCACCCATATTTCAAATCAGGTCAGAGGGAGACTGGGCGCAAGGCGTACAGGCAAAGAGCAAAGGACAGGTTGAGATGCAGAGTCAATGTTGCAGAGAAACAGGAGGGTGCCCTGGATACACTGATGATGGCGCATTTTATAGGCACACAGGAGAAATCACATGAGGAGGAGCACAGGCAAGAAGAAGGAGGAGGGGAGAAACCAGGAGAGAGATCTTGAATTAAGCAAGTGGATTAATTTAATATCAAGGAAGAGAGAACTTAGTTTGGGCTTTTAATGTAGGAATTTGGCTTCTGAATGTAGGAAAGTCCCAGTGGTGTGTCCCAGTGACCCAACCCGCCAGATGGACAGCAAAGGCATCATCCACACTATCTGCCCACACAAAGAAAACAGAGCATGCACGTGCTTGCTTCTCCCAGGCATGGACTGCCACTGCTGCAGACTCACCTTGTCACAACGGTATTCCCCAAACTTCACCCCCCGCACGACCTGCTGGTAAATGAGGTTCGTGGCCACGTTGTCTTCATTTGGGTTGTGCCAAGGGGTGAAAATTTCCTTCCTGAAGAAGAGCCTCCAAGGTGCGTTGCGCTCCTGAGCCCCTTGCTCCTTGGCGTATTGCTCACACTGAGAGACGGCATCCATCACGTGGTCGTTGCCACTCCCCAGGGAAGAGACCTGGCCAGGGCAGGAGGTGGGGACAGAAAAGGTGCATTGTAGGCACTGTGAAGCACTGCAGTTTTAGCACCAGTGTTGATGCCCCCTGTGAAAGGGGGAAACAAGTGAACAAATGGGGACAGGTTATATTGCACAAAGGCAGCAAGCAGCAAGGTGGCAGGACCCATTATTCATTTTTATTATTCAAACCCAAGTTGTCTCCTTTTCAGTTTTATTTTAACTTGGGTTAGCTAACTCAGGCCAGCTCACTCAAGAATACACCTTTTTTTTTGGCGGTGTAGATATAGAATAATAGAAAAATAGGGCAGGAAGGGCCCTCAGGAGGTCATTTAGTCCAGTCCCCTGCCCAATACCCATTGCTGACCTAGGGTTTGGATCCCTGCTGCAGTCACAAGAAAGTACTGTCATCCCGAAGATGCGGACTGACTAAGAAGGAGAGCCACCCTCCCTGTCTTTTAAAGGCTTGTTGGGGGTCCAAGTGGGTACCTTGTCGAATAGCGCAATGTAAAGTGAAAACCCAAACCGGTCCTTCAGGCTGATCTTGTCGGCCAGGGAATTACAAAGCTCTTTCGCTGTTGTCGCTGAGTCAGTTAGCAGTGTCTTCGTCGTCCCATCCATAAACGTAACGGGCAGCATGATGGGCTTCTTGGACTTGGTGGCCTAGCACATTGAAGTCAAACTCTTTAAGGCATCTTAAGTTGAACTAGGTCCAGGCTATGTGCCCCAAGGCAAGTTTAACCTCCTTTCTGTTTCCTCTACTACCACCCATGGCTGCATTTGTAATGATTCTGCTATGTATTTCTCCACAGCATAATGTAGAGGCAGCATCTGGGGAGGGATCAGTACCTGCAACTCCCAGTTTTTTAAAAATTTTATTTCTAGAGTTGAAAGTCAGAATTTTGCAGGCTTTTCACGAGTTATTGGATCAAGCCCTTGAGACATGCACATTATTGAAATAAGAGTTGGAGCGGGTTAAAACTAGAGAGGAAACTTCTGTAAATCCTCTACCAGAAAAAATAAAGGAGGTGAGATAACCATCACAGACAGACGCGGGGGAACATCTGAAAGGACACTGTTCAGTCGTATGTGAGGAAGAAATGCTTCTGCCAGTGGTGTAATTCTGGGCCGGGGTGGGCTGGAGGTGGGGGGTGAGGCAAGCAGGGCACCAGCTCCAGGCACTGATTTAGAGGGAGAAGCAAGGGCACGTGTAGACAAAATGTGGGCCCTAAATTGAAGTGGTGGGTTTTTAAAAACACGGTTTCAATTTAGGGCCCTTTAAACACCCGTGTCTTGCACACACTCAAACTTACCTGCCTCTCCGGCAGAGGGGAGGGAAGGGGAGGGCAGGCTGCCAGTGGGCAGAGCAGTCCCTGAGCTGCGGTGGGGCAGTCCTGGGGGGGCACTGCAGCTGCAGAAGCATTTAACCCGCTTTAAAGTGCACACATGCCCCTTGTTTTGTCTACACATGGCCCAAGATACAACTCCCCAGGTAACCAATGCTGCTGATGCAGCAGCCCCTGTTCGGGAAGCTTGCACTGAAGTGGTAGCAGCACACAGCACTGCTATAACTTTGGCACCAGGAAGCAAACACTCACTTCCACCCCCAGCCCGTGCCACCCAAGGTTACACCTCTGGTTTCTGCCTCTGAGCTGCTAATCCTCAGAGAGCCTGAGCCACAACTCTCTGCTTGGGGCATGGTGAGATTGTTGCAAATACAAGTGCATTTACTATTAGAAGTGACAGGGAAATGCATTTCATTCACCTCTGAGCAGTTTAAAAAAAATAGGATTTCTGGAAAAGGGCTCAGGTTCATGTCAAAAGCACAAAAAGCAAACACTAAAAGCATTGCCAACACCCCCTTTTTTGTTGTGAGAAGCAGAAAAAATATTCCCACCAAAAACCTTAAACAAAGTCAGACAGAAACTGCTGTTTTCTTGTGTGCGTTTCCGGTTTGCTAAAATCACATTTTTTTGTCAAAATATTTTTTCCATGAAACCCTTCTGACCGGCCTGTTGGGTGTAGGGGAGAAGAGGCGGGCAATTCAGCAAACTGTACCTGCAACTCCAACCAGCTGGGAGGTTGCGTCCTCGTCCCGTTTACAAACGTCCTCCTCAGTCTCTCTTCGCAATACGGAGCGTAACCAGGAGGCCCTCCATTGATGAAGTTCCTTAAATACTGTAGTGACAGGGGATGGATTGTTTAGACGGCAGGGCCCGCAGTTAGCTTGAAAATAAGTCAGCGTCACATTTTAAAGGCTCTCCTTTCAAACCTGTGTTGTGCATAGGCCAGAAAATTGGGGCTGAATGAAATGGACTGTATGTAATGGGCAGTGAATGTGACCAAATACACACCTGCACACACCCACACACAGAATAATCACTATCCACACGTACGTGTGTGCACATACACACCCCTCAATATTCACACACATATGCACACACTGTACTCAGTGTCCACATGCGCGCGCGCACAAACACACACACACTACTCAAGACCCACACACGTGTGCGCTCACACACACATAGTACTTAATATTCACACACATGCGCGCACACACAGTACTCAATATCCACACATACGTGTGCATACAAACACACACACACAATACTCAGTATCCACACATGTGCACACACAATCTTCAAGATTCACACACATGCACGCACAATACTTAATATCCACACACACATGCATGTGCACACACACACACTACTCAATATCCACATGCACGTGTGTGCACACACACAATCCTCAATATTCACACACATGCACACACACCCACCACTCAATATCCACATACGCATGCACACACACACATAATACTCAATATCCATACACATGTGCACACGCACACACAATAGTCAATATCCACACACACACACACACACACACACACACTGCTCAGCTACCAAGGTGACAGATGTCTTAGTAAGAAATTAAATACATAGTTATCTGGTTAGATTTAAAAATGCATCATAAAAAGATCCAATTCTGGGCTCTAAACATCTGCAACCATATTACTGTAGAGACAATTAAGGCTTCCTAATATGATGGATTAATTCAGACAGAAAAACACTCTAGAAATCACTTCAATTGATAAGTTTTTATAAAAATGTAAATAGAAAGCATGTCATACAGATGTCCCATAAATAACTTAGATAGAAAAATGGACAGGTCTATAAATCGTACCTCCTAGAGATGGCCTACAGATATAACTTTGACAGACAGACAGCTCTATGAATCAGAACATGGGGATGCTCTCTAAGTAACTTAGGTTGACAGCGAGATTAGATAGAAGGGTGCTGCTGAGTTTCTGTTATCAGCCTGATGTTGGCACCACCTATAAAATCCACAAACACACACAAGTGGCTTCAGAACTGCTATACGAAGTGTGGGGATAAGAAAGAATTTTTCTAACTCTCAAATAAATCTGAGTAATTCACTTGCAAAACCGAAGCTTTCACAAGAGCCTAAGCTAATAATAGTAAAAGCTTTGAATGTTTTTGCAATGGAAAAAAAGGAGAAAGGAAGACAGAGAAATGACAGTTGACAGCCCTCAGCTCCATGGGTTCTGCTGCAATTTGATGAAGCCAACATTTCCGTGATAATATGCTGGTTTTCAGAACTGTTAATATTTTAAGCCCTGACTCGGCCCCTGCATCCATTCCGGTTCCTGCAGAGGCTTGTGGGGAGCTCCGTGCAGGTCCAGTGAGTTGCTTCTTTCCAGAATCAAGGCGTTAAAGAACAACCTCCACATGGGTCCCTAACAATGCAGACTGCAACAGGGTTGCCCCCCAGCCCAGATCAGAAAGTGCAGAATCCTGGCTTTGCTAATATCCAGAGTTTTGCCCCTGATGAAATGGAGCCAGGGTTTCAGCCACAAGATGAATTTTCAGGTCTTGATGAATTAATTTTGAGAAATGCTGTCCTTTCCTAAAAGAAGCCTATCTCTATTAAATATTTAAGCACAAGCCATCTCCTGACATGCTTTCTCAGACCTTGTTTCCAGACGTAGTTTGATTTTCTGCTCTTTCACTGATGATTTATCTGCCTTATCAGATTTCCCCCGGAAAGGGCTTGTGGATGGTAAAAGGATGGCTATTTCTGTAGTCAGCTCCTCATTTGAGCACTCAGAGCCAACAGCCTCATTCGAAATCCACCAAAGTCAAGAGAAAGGCTTGAACTTTGCTGGTGCGTGGATCAGGCCACAGGGGCAAAGACTGTAGCAGGGGGAAATGGGGGTTTAGCTTGAGCAAAGACTGCAAGCTCAAACCTTCAAGGGGCCGAGTCCTGATCTAGCCAAGCATCCAACGAGAGGCTTGACTTTAAGTACTTGAGCTGTCCTGTTGAAGAAAAAGGATTGTAGATATTTAGGACCTTTGGAAATCAAAGGTGTAACTATGGGTTTCGGCCAAGATTTAAGGAAAAGAAAAAGGAGAACTAAAGAAGTGGCTTGATTTTGGAGCTCCCAGGCACTTCTGTGGGGTTTGCTGCCCAGCATGGCTTAAAACAAAATGGTTCATTTAAACACGTGAATGTGGACAAAGAGCAGAGGCTACCCTACAGATACATAAGGGAGCAGGCGCTCTCAGTGTAATATGCACGGCGGTAAATACTGGCATTCATAAAGCAACAGACAGACTTACAGATCTGGAGTGAACGTAAGACCTTTAAGTTACTGTGGGTTTATACACGTCTTTGTGGACACATAGATATGCACACGCAAATAAATGTAAACTTTTTGCAAACTTCCTATATTGTCTCACCAAAAAGCAAAACTCAACTACAGGGGGAGAGTATTGTTAACATGAACATTTCAATTAACTGACTTTCTGGATGACCAAATCTTTAGGCGGGTATGTGTGTATTTCCGAATCACTTATTTTTCATACTGGTAATTAGATGACTTGGTTAGAAGGTTAGTTTTTGGTCTCCAGTTCAGTAAAGTAAATGCTTAATTTTAACCTCAGTTAGCCTTACATTACAGCATAGTCTGTAGACTTTATATATTATATACAGTATAATACGATATATATGATATTGTATATTATATATTATTGTATATTCTTTATTATACATTGATACAGTTGAATTTTCCTTTAAGATCAGAACCTGGTTTGGAACAATTTGTTCTGACACAAATTAAAGATCTGGATTCCTTCTGCTATGAAACCAAAGAGAACTGTTGTTCCCGGACTTGGAACAGGAAGTGATTAAAAAGTTGTGTCATAAAAGTGATGCTTTACCTTCACAAACTTTTCAGAGGGAGCGAAGCAGCCCACACACAAGGACATGAGGATCCAGCCTCTGGCATGGCTGCTTTTGGAAGGATTCTGGGTCAGCTGCTTGCAGATTTGACAGTAGATTTCATCCCTGTGGCAGAAATCACAAATAAATCCCAGGCCCAGCACTGTTGCTCCCCTTTCTCTATATGGAGCACTGAGATGCCTAATCCTAAATGACTCTTAAGCACCTCTGAAGTTTCTCCATTGTCTGTAGAGGGGTCTGAGGTACCTAACCTGATCAGACTGAGCTGTTCCCCCTCCTCCCCCAGGCAGGTAACCTGAGGTGTTACAGTATCTAAATGCAGGTGCATAAAGAGCTAATTTTACCTCTGGCCACGGTCAATCACCTCTGGCACCCAGAGCTGACTTTGCAGAAGTGCTGAGAACTCACAAGTGCAACGGAGGTCAATGGGAGCTGTGCTCTAAATGTGTAAACGTGCATGTGACGTTGACTACTCCGCAAAATCAAGTCTTAAACATCTGCATTTGGGAATCCAAAATTAGTCTACAATTTTGACCTTGATCTCTCTTTGTCTCAGTTCCCTATGCAGGTCATGATACACTCTACTCTGAGTGAAGATGCATTCAGATAATACACTGATAAGCCTCATATAGAAGGCCTTGAGGAAAAGAATAATTCTTGCCTTCAGAGCAGAGATGAATAAGGTTCAGTAGATGAGGCATGGGGTCATGCTGTGAACAATGAGGCTATACAAAAAAGGGAACAGGCGTTCCTCGAGGGAACGCCCATCATTGTGTGTGTTGAATAGGGTCCCACTTTAAAGACAGCATGCCATAATGACCCTCAAAAAGCATATCTAGCAGGGTGCTGACATAAGGATGCTCAGACAACCATCGCTGGCCTTTCTTACCTTGTGACTGCTCAACTTAACAATCCTTATAGTTCCCTTTGACTATTGTTTTTTAGCACACAAGAAATAAAATGTATCCTTCTCATGAAAGGAGGCACAGCAAATAATGGGGTAATGGCTTGAATAAAAATAAGCAACGGAAAGAAAGAATGACAGTAAATGGGGTTGAAGGCTGGATCCAAAGCCCTCAGAATTTGACAGCCCTAATCCTGGCTTTTTCACTGATGTAAGAGGTCTTTGGATCAAGCCTGAAATGAATATCTAAGAAGATAATGCTATATAGGCGCTGGTCATACAAAGCAGTTGAAAGGGCAACGTAACAGTTCTGCTGGACTACAGAGATTAGCAACAAAGCTGAGCAGGAGGTTCATCGTTCTGTACTGATATCTAACCTTAATCCTGGCCTGAGGATGCCATTACCAATAATGAAATGGAGCTTCTCCAAGTTGGAGGTAGGCCGGTCTTCGAGCATGCTGTTGCCTTGGAGAGTGGACTCACCATCGTGAAGTCTCTTGGTAACCTGTCAACCAGAGACATTGTTCTTGTTGTGTACAACTGGTTGCTGCGGCTCTCACCTCCTCCACCTCTTCCCCACCCAGATCTAGCTGGGACAGTTCTCAGAAAGCCTGAATGGGTTTACAAATTTGCTGTCTTTGATCTAGCAGAGGTTTGGCCTTAGCTTACTACTGCTGAAGACACACTGGGTTTGCCTACTTAGTCTACCTACCATATCTTCACTAATGTATCGGCTTTAATTTTGCCCATATTTTTCCACAACAGTGGGTGCACCTACATGTGTGCTTGACTGCATAGTAACCACTGTTATTAATCTTATTTCTGGGCATTACCAATAATAATTGCCAATACTGCGCAGTCTTGGTGGCACGCGGGGCATTTCTAACCCTACTATGTAGTAGCATTAGCGTCACGGTACATGCCTACCTATGCTACGTCACCAAAGTGATGAGCTATACGTCTTGTGTAGACGTGCCCAGCGTGCTTAGGACAAAGCTCTAGACCAGCTGTTATAGCTCTCACTGGAAGTCACCTAAGGCTAAATCAGTTTGTCAGAGGAGGCTCTGGCCTTTCAACTCTTTTCTACTCCATGTATATTATTAAAAAAAACACAACAGTATAAAACAAACAAAGACAACAATGTGTCTGGAAGCACACAAGCATGTTTGTGGTGGTGATAATCGATATCCATTTGCTCTGTGAGTGCATGGGGGATAAAAAAGGAGGATGGGACCAGGGGGTGAGGCGACAGGTTCTCTACCTTAAAGAGCGTACGGGAAGGATTTTGAAAAGCACAGAGCACTGATCTAACTGCTCACATGGACAGGGGAGCAGAGATAGCCCAATGCTGAGTGATTTTGGAAAGCCCACCATGGCCTTCTAAGCTGGAAGGGAAGGCAAAATTATTAAGCACAGGCAACAGAGGCCAAAACAGCATGGCAGGAGGCCTCTCTAGCTAGAAGGCCATGCAGATGAAGGGATGTGAGAGGGGTGCTCGATGGATGGAGAGTGGAAGCTGCTCCACACAAAGGGAACTGCGGGAAGGAAGGCATGAATGACTCAGAGACACACGGAGCCAACCTTTCCCCTTAAACTCTCCTTAAATCTTTCAGGCACCTGGAGATACAGGTAGCACCAAACCAAGAGGAGGTCTGGCTGCATTTTGTCTAGAGAGAAGCAGAAGAGAGTCAGTGCGCCCTGGAGAGCATCCAATACTGTTTGTGCTTTCTGTCTGCAGCACGTTTGCTCTCACCTCTTCAGTCAGCTTGGACTTCTTCTTGAGAGTCAAGGAGACCAGCTTGTGCCTCACGCTGTTCTTCTTGTGTCCATCGATGCTCTGAGAAAGCAAGAGGAATTGGGTGTCAAGGATAGCTCTGGTGAGTAGGTTTCCTGTGATACAGACTCAATCGCTTTTCAAAATCGCATCATTGTCGGGGCATTCAGAGCACTAAGTCGATATTGCAGCGATGGGCCAGAACCAGCCCCCCAAATCCACACTCTCTGAACCATGGTAACATGGATCTGATGAGAGGGTGGGGCTAGATAGCTCTCGAGGTCCTTTCCAGTCCTGGGAATCTATGATTTTATGAGTTTCGGAGGGGGTGTCTCTCTCTGTAAGGGCCCAAATCAAAAGACCCTGTCCTGGAACAACCCGGATGTGGGGAAAATTTGAAAATGGGGCCAAATGACATGACTCAGATGCAACCCTAATGCTTACTATATTTACTTGCATGACTTGCAAAAAATAGCTGCTGGAAATTGGACTATGTGTCTTCAGTGAGGAAATGCAGGGAGCAGAGGGCTCATTCCTGTACGAGCTGAACTGTCCAGTGAACTTGGAAAGCAGCCAGTGGTGCAGCCAGGTCAGCTGAGGACCTAGCCAGCTCAAGAAGTGGGACTAGGCAGTTCAGCTCAGCTAGTAGCATCAACTGAGGGCTCGATCCTGCTGGAGCTAAACTGCCCAGCTCCATTTCCAAGCTGGCGGGCACTGCATCCTGCAGCTAGGGGTTAAGAAAGCAGTCACAGGTTTTTGCTGCCCGCACCCACTACTGCAGCTGCCTGTATTCCCCCTGTTAAAATACCACACTTACCTGTATTTTCAAGGAAAGATCATTTTTATTTCATCCCACCCTCCAAAAACAAGGTGCATGTCTTATTTGGGGGCATGAGGTATGTAAGACAATGTGGTAGTCGTTTTGGAGATGGCTACCTCTGTAAATCCCCCTGTCTGCTGTCAATTTAATTGAGGAGACATTTGTACCACCCAGCCAAATCAAAAGTACAGTGGTAGTGTCTGAAAGAACAGTTTGGGCTTGGTCCTACTTCACCTATTATGTGCTTAAGTGTGATCCTATTCCACCTTGCTTGAGTCCCTTGAAAATACATTTAGACACCAACATCTAAGCCTGAAGACCAAGTCACAAAACGCAGTGAGCAGGAGGAACATCCATTCCCTTTTTTGCATTAGCTGTTTTTCAGGTCTCAAGTAGGGTGGAACAAGTTCACACTTAGGTGCTCAAGTCCATATAATGTCTAATAGGTGGAACAGAATCTGGCCCTAAGGGTCGATGGCAAAATACCTTGTTAAATTTTACTTCTCTTTGTAGGAGCTATATGGGTACCAGGCAATGGACAAAACCCTTTCTTTTGTGCATCAAGAAAATTAATCATAGATAATTACAGGGAAGAAAGTCTGCTTCTTCATGTATATTTTAACTTAATTCACCTGCACTGGAGATTTACTATCCTGATCAGAAACTTTAACAAAACCACTACACTGGATCATTATTTCTCAGATTGTGTCTCCAGCGATGTGCTTCATATATTCAGATCAGTGAAGGGTCAAAATTTTTGGCATCCGCGCCACAAATTAAGCCCCACACCCTCCCCAAGTGCCACTCTGATCCCATTCCCCTACCCCATCTGCTGCTCTGCTTCCCGCTCTCTGCCCTACCTGCCACTGCTCTGCCTGTACCCTCCCCAGTCTGTCAAGGGACACACACACAGAGGCTGCCTGTCTCACTTCTGGCACGTGTGCTATGGGATGGCCACCTCTGATTTAGATCTACAAAAAACAGAGAGACGTTTGTTCTCATGCGGCTCATGGCATAATTCAGAAACACCTCCTAAGGACAGTAGTAGCATTTAGTATAATGCACTGCCAGCAAGCCAGAGCACAAAATGTTTAATGGGGTCTTCTGTAAGACAGAGTCTCAAAGATAAAAGCATATGAACTGCCAGAGTGCAATGGCCTATCCTGCCTGAGGTCTTGTTTTTGAGGATGTCAAAGCAAGATTCTCCCAATGGATTATCACAGTTCTGCAATGCAGCTAATGGTGAAATCCTATTTAACATCGAAAGATTTTTTTTCTGACTTCATAGCGGGTTCATTACACAATACGATCACAAACCACCCCACCTTCTACTCCAAGTTTAAAGCCTACTTCTTTGCCTTGCCTTCTCTAACGTCACCAGAGCAGGACGAAGCAAAACTAAATGACACGCAGAATTCTCTCCTCTGGGGAGAAGGTGAGATTGAGAATGAACCCCAGGTCCCACCAGCCGTTTAATTGGCCTTAACAAAGAATAAAGAAAAAGCCTCTCTCACCAATATGCATCTCTCACCTCTCCTTCCCCCTGTAGAGCCTGCAGTTCTTTTTTATAGGTCTTCTTCCCTAGAGTCTCATAGATTTTGGTCATCACGGGGATCTTTTCACTGCCATCACTCATTGCTGTGTGGTACTTAGGCTCAGGAAGGTCTCCCATGAAACGAAGGATAGTGATCCACACTGCGAGGGCTGCCTGTTTGGAATAAAAGTTTAACTTCTTGAGTTTTTGGCCTAGACAGTTAATTCTATGCATTCCACTGTAATGAATCTGTGTTAACTGTTGATTAGACAGTTTGCTACACAAATCACCCAGTAGAAACTTTGCAACCATACAGATAATACCTAGAAGGTCTGCTCAAACAGCACAGGCAGGTACCACTTGAGCAAAAGGAGGATCTCGTCTAGCTGTTAGGAGTTTATAGTCTATGATAAACAGTCAAGTGATTTGGAAGGCATCTAGTATAGGATAGTGCTGAATATGTGGGACAAAACAACAAAACATGAGCAAAATGAAAATAAAATTAAAATTGTGCATGACAGACCAAAATCTTTTAAATAATCTACTCCTCCAAGTCAAAGGTGAAACATGAAGAGGTGAAATGATTTACCTGTATCACAAAGGGGTTTCTACCAGCTAAGATTTTTTTTGTCCAGTCATTCACCAGATATATGAAAGGCTGGCAGAACATGAAGGAAAGCTGGATCTAGCTATTTACAAAATCCAGCACCATTGAGGAGTTTGGGCTCAGTTCTGGTGCACAGACTTTTGTCCACCCTAGAGGAATCTGTCCTGTTCTTACCAGACATGTCACGTGAGTCCTTTGGAGACCTCTGAGGTGCCTCTACATACCATGGGTTTTAATCCTCATTAAATTAAATAGGTTTATAAAATTTAAACTTGTTTATTTTGCAGCATCATGTCGGTGTTTGCACGCACTAGGCTTTAAAACTAATTAAGTTTTGGAGCGTTGCATCAGTGTTTGCATGCATTAGGTTTTCGAACAAATTAAGCCCAGTCTCTGGCTGGTGCCACAGGAGAGTGGGATGGTCCAGCGCTAGCCCCCCCCAGCCTGGAGCCCCCCTACTCCATGCTCTATCCCTGTGCCCATGCCACCAGGAGCTGGCAAACTGCGCAAGAAAAAAAAAAACATAAGCAATTCAAAAGCGAAAGCAATTCGAAGGGGTGAACTACAAAAAAGTTGCAGCCATCTGGTGGACAAAGAGGCTTATTACACATCTTTCAGTGCCTTTGTGTTTGCATGCAACAAATCCATGGACGCAGCACTTTGATTCCCAGTAAGCCAAACTAAACTACATCTGAGAAGTTTTAGTTTAATGCACCAGAAGGACTTTTAAAGCAACCAGAAATCCCACTCGTGCAAACAGTCATGCAGTTGCAGCACAAGAAAGGACAAAAAATGTGGCATGTACAAAGGCTCTTGGTGATAGTTTCAGTACAGATATGAAGGAAGAAGATTGACTCAATATTTTGCCCTCTGGCACTATCTCAGGGCTGAGGCATACTGCTAGGACTGTGGAAGCCCAGAATGAATTGATGCTATATATTGGTGAACAAGGACTTTATTCAATACTGAGCTCTACTCAAACTGGTGCACTCCACTGGGCTAGAATCCAGCTGGTGTCCTAGATAGGAAGGGCTCACTAGTCTCATACCAGTCCCCTGAACTAGGCAGCCCCATTTCTCATGTGCAGATCTGGTTTTTATTCCCTCTCTTACCAACTGGTCTCCTTCGTCCTCGTGATACAGAAGAGGCTGCTTGAGAGGCCGGCGGATGTAGGTGTGTGTCGTCGTGCCCTGGAAGTACGTGGCTGCAAACTTGGCAAACTTGTACTCTGAGAGGTCTTCCTCCTCTTCCTCAGGGAGGGGCAAAGCTGCATCTAAATCTTCTTCCTCCAGCTCCTTCTGGACACGCTCGAGGTCCTGGACAGAGAAGAAAATAGGGACCTTCCATTTGGCTTTGTGGTTTTAAAAAATCTTTCTTCCTGGGCTTGACCTTGCTCCTAGTTTTGCCACTGATTTCATGGGTTAATATCAGCCCCTAAGGGAAGAATGGGCATGAAGGAATGAACACAGCTCTGGCACTGGACTCCACATGATCTCATTGGCTGTAGTATGTCAGGATGGCTACCCCTGTACACAGCCTGAGTGACTAAAAGGGGCAGCAGGCCCCTCTTTAAGCCCACTTGGGGCACTGACTGTAGGCTGGTCTACACTAAAATCTGCGACTTTTTTTCCAAATGCTTCTCCTAATTCCTGATACTCACTTGTCTCCTGGTTCTTGACTATGGCTCCTGCACTTTGCCTTTTCCTCTGTTCCAGTCTTCATTTTGAACCATTGGGTCAGACACCCCACGCACTGCCTCATTCCCACAAGTCCCTTTGCAAGTCACTAGTTTCAATGGGGTTGGTCCCAAGCAAGGTCAGCTGATACCTCATTGTGCTAGGCATAACTGCTGGGCTGGGCAGAGTCCCAAAGGCAGCAGTAGGTGGGGCAAGTATGGAAGAATTAATACAAACTTTCCAAAAACTAGGCATCATAGAGTGATCATGCTAAACTAAGGGAGGATGGGCCTCAGTAGCCACAGACCTCAAACTGTCCGAAACTATGAATATGTTGCTAATGTGTTTAACTTCTCAGCAGCCCCATATATTGCTGTATGTCCCCTGCACTGTACCTCAAAGCCATTGGGCGCCTGTCCTTCCTGGCCTGGAAGAGAGGTAGTTGTACCGAGGAATCCAAACATTTTGTCCACCATGTCCGAGTCGTTCACTGGCTCGTTTCGGGCTTTCTCCATCTTTTCTAAGAATTCCTTCTTCCGGCGGGCTTCCTCCTTTTCCTTCACCTCCCTCTCAGCATCTTCCCGGGCCAACTGAGCAAGGCGCACCTAGAGGAGAACAGTTCAAAGATGACTCTATATATTGCTCTCTTCAACAAGCTGGAACTCAAGCTTGATCTCCTGGCTTTAGAAAGGCAGGATGATTAAGCGCTAGACAGATACCTGGGATGAACCACTTACATCTCTGTGACTCATACAATACAGGTGGAACAATATTTCTTCCTTCCTCTTGTTTTAATGCTCACTCAGAGCATATCCGCCTAGGCAGTGGGTCTGTCTCTTACTGTCTATGTATGTTCTTCACCTAGCATATGGTATCCCAAATTCAGCTGGGGCCTTTATAATTACCATAATAATAATAGCAACAGTGCAATAATTACACCCATGGCATTCAGGTGTGGCAGTTTGGAAATTCAGGGGCAGCTTGTTCAAGTTAAAGCACTTTACTGATTCAATACACGTGATACAAGCCATGTGGCCAAGCCTTACACTGTTGTTTGGGATTCTGCCTCCACATTTATTTTATTCTGTCCCTCAAGTCTTTCAGCAGGGGTAGAATCAGGCCCTCAAACACAGAGAGAAACTGGGAAAGAGAGGAGTCATAAAGTACTTGGTGCTTCTTTTCAGCTTCCTCTTTGGCTTTCTTGGCGCTCATCTCCTTTCGGAGACGCTCCTCTTCTGCCAGCCGAAGTTTCTCTGCTTCCAGGCGGCGGCGATACTGGGGAAAGAAATGCAAACTGGCTTTGATGAACACAGGTGCCATTTTTTTTATCCCCTTAAGAGCCCGCAATACAAAACCACCTGCCTTCTTCCATTCCCTGTGCTAGCAAACAGCCATTGTTGAACAGCACTTACTTCTCCCTTCAGGCGCTTATATAGCCTTCGGGCAATCATGCCCCTGGCATAGGCCTGGACGGTGAGGACGGCCCAAAGCCGATGGCGGAAGGCCCTACGCACAAGGTAACCACGGCATTGTGCCTGGAAGTCGATGATGCGCCTACGAGCCATATGGTACTGCTTGTGGAGCTTGCGTGAACGGTAGAGGGCCTGAAGCCTTAGGAACCCGATCTTCATCTGCAAGGGAAATAGGTTAAGACCCCGCGCCTATTATAGGTCTTGCCTGCTCTAATCAGGTTGCCTTCTCCAAGCACTTTTCTCACTGCTGTAAAGAAAAACAACCTGAGATCAGCAACAACCATACAGGGCTGGGAGCTTCCTGGAGGTAGCAGAGGGGGAAAAAAGGGAGCTGTAGGATTTGAGGCTGGATCCAAAGCCCACCAAAAGAAAGGAAAGCTTTTCCATTGACTTCAGGAGGTTTCAAGCCCAGGCCAATGGTTTCTACAGTTCTCATACATAGATTCACCTTCCCTCAAGAAGTTGGCTCTGCACAGAGCCCTAGGACCATTCAGAGAGGGGCCCAGCATCTCCATGCTGCCTCCTGTCCATCCTATAGCAGAGTCCCTCCCCAGTCCTTGCTCCCACAGTGTCTTCCACATCATGGAGCCCTTATATTGACTCAATCATTGACAGCTTTTAGGCTGAGCTTTTGCCTGCGGGATCATACTGCATAAAAACAGCCATCTCTCAGTTGACCTGATGCCTTGGAGCAGCCTGTGAAGGTCTCCTGCAGGGTCGGGGGACCCACACAGTGTTCCCACGTGCCATCCTGTCCTCTCTGTGCAGTTCTCTGCTAGGCTTGGGGATGCTAAAGAAAGCAGAGGGTCGCACATGATGGTGGCAGTGGTGGCTGCAGCTGTAAAGCCGAAGGGCCAAACTGAGATCAAGTGCACTTCCAAGAGGAGAGCTGCACTTCTGCCAGCTCTGTCTCTGTCCTGGAGCCTGCAGCCCCATGAGGAACAGTGCAAGTCTCTGGGTATGTCCTACACCATGTCCCAAGTGCTAACACATCTGCTCCCACTTGCACACACCAAGTCTGAAAATATGGTGATGAAACCATTCCCGGGGTGCCAATACGGTGGCCTCATTAGGCATGCTGGAGACAGAACAGTTTCTGGGAGCACCCCTGGAGCAACTTCACTGCTGCATTTTGAGGTTTAATGATGCATGCAGGATGTGTGATAGGAACACTCCCTTCTGACAGCACTTGGGACGCTGTGGAAACATACCCTGTGAGGCCCCAGGTGTCCATCTGGTTTAAAGTGGGTCCAACTCATGGCAGGTTTGAGGAGGATGACCAAACAGGAGGCTGTTCCCTTTGCTGGAGCCTGCAGCAGCAAGAGAATAACCTGCTCCTCTGTTCCTCCCTTCATTTGACACACACGGGCCAGTTCTTTTCTCTTGGGCCTTTCCCCCGGGGGGTATTCAAGCAGACATGGGAAAAAGTGAACAGCGAGGGCCTGCAGTGAATAGCATTATCAAGGTAGTAGAGGGCACACAGCAATGCCAGCCACACTTACGGCTCCGTAATTCTTCCGGCAGTTGTGTCCCCGCCAGTACCTCTGAATCATCAGGGCCGAGTTTCTCACTTTCAGGAAATTGGACCTGGAAAGGCATTTCAGTCACTTGTCTGTGCTGCCCTGCTCCCTGCAAGTACCCCTCTGGCGAGTGAGGAGAGCTGGCCTCATTCTTTAGATAGTTCAGGCTGGGCAAACCTTCACTCCCTTCAGCTCTGCTGTCTCCTTGCCAATGCCTCTCCCCACCTTCCTTTCCCTCGCCAGATGAAGGATGGGGTTATAGGCCCATTACCGTGTTCCTCTACCTTTTCTCTGTGCTTCAGCCAAACCAAGTGATGGCAAGAGGGAGAGCCATCCAATTATGGTGCAATGGGAGGTGAGTGATCCTCAGGACCCCTTACCTGCTGTGTGACTCCGTGGACCCATGCCCTTTACACCACCTCTTCTGCCTTTCCCCCTTGCCAGGCTAGCTTCATCTGCACCAAGTTGCCTACCCTCCAGGCATCTGGGGGCTTGTGTTTGGCAGGGACCCTTGGGGCCGGGCACAGCTGGCCTGTGCGTTAACCCGCCTATGCCCCCATTTGGGACCTCTCTTATTTCTAGTCTTGCACTGCAGTCTCTCCAGAATAAAGGAGGGTGTTCGCTGGTCTTGCTCCCTTAACTCTCACAAACCTATTCCCAGCTGATGATCTGGCCGTCTCCATTTTCCATGAAGTGCTTTGCACACGGGACAGGGTGGATTTGCCTAACATCATGCAGCAAATCATGTCACAGTCAGGGTCAGGCTAGACCTCCACAGTATAAATAATCTGGCATCCTCTTAGCAACCTGGTCAGCTTAGCCTGAGAATCAGTGATCCTGCAGCAAAATCTGACCTGCATTATTGCGTCCTCGCAGCCACCACATTTCCTTGTGCGCCAATCCCTGTTCTAACCTACGTGCTTCACCTTGCACAGATAAGGAGAGAGCAATGGACCAGGTGCACTGCTACGGGGCAGAGTAAGCGAATGGCAGCTGAGGACAAGAGAACATTGTTGAATCAGGGGGCAGTAGGCTGCAGGGCACCGTGCTCGGGAGTCGCACCGACCCATCCTCCAGTATTCAGTGAGCTTTCCCCCTGTGCCTCATACCTGTCTTTAAATCCACGCACCACCTTCTGGATGAGGATGACCTTGTCTGTGATGGCCTTGTCCCTTTCAATCTCCAGCAGCATGTCATGGTGATCCTGAGGAATGAAACAGCTACACCTTAACAGTTGTGGGTGAGGAGGCTGGTAGGAGGCTCCTTTTCGGAAAGGTCCTTCACACCCAGCCACACCTCTGAGGATGTCCCACTTCACAATTCACCACCTCCAGGGCCGTGTGGTCCAGCCACCCTCTTCTGATCAAGGAGAACGGGACTAGGACCTGTCACTTCATCAGTGCCATCTGAAAAGGCCAGGAGGTGTCATCCCTGCATACCTGTGTACGGCCCACAAACAGGGCGCTAGTAATGGCTAAATGAGTCTTTCTGTGCTTCAGTTAGCAGAGGTTGCTACCAGGTACCTGATGTGCTGGTGTTTCACTTTACACTAGTAAACAGGACAGTGCAAGGTTCAGGACCCAGGAGAACCTCATGACCAGGGATCTCTAGTTTTAAAAAAATCCCCAACATTTGGCTTAAAAAAAAGTAACCCCAAATCCACATTTTCCCATGATTAAAATGAAACACCACTAATAGATAGCCATAGATAGTGGTGTTTCATTTTAATCATGGGAAAGTGTGGATTTGGGGTTACATATCCAGGTTGCAGCTGTATTGGTCTAGAGGAAAAAGCAATCAGGACTCACGGTAGAGGTGATATCTTTTATTAGACCCACTAGATTTTTGCAAAAAAAAAATTATAATTGCAATTAAAGCTTGCAATTAAAGACATTTTTTTTTTTGCAAAACTCTAGTTGATCTAATTTTTAGACCAGCTAGATTTTTGCCAAAAAAAAAATTCTTTAACTGCAAGCTTTAATGGCAATTAAAAAAAATTTTTTGCGAAACTTTTTTGCAAAAATCTAGTTGGTCTAATAAAAGATATCGCCTCTGCCATGAGTCCTGCTTTGGGGTTACTTTTTCTTAACTGAAAATTGGGGATTGTTTTAAATCAGAGAAAACCAGGATCCCTGCTCATGACAGAGCTGGGAATAATCTTTGGGCCTCCTGATTCTCAGCCCATTGCTCAGATGAAGTGTAAAGGCTGCACTGTCTAAGGACAATAAGGAGGGCTCAGGGTAAAACCTCGCCCCTTCACTCTGAACTTCCTTGTTTGACAGTCAAGTCACGCAGTCGTAGGAGGCGTTGGTTCCTTTCCTGGCCGCTGGCAATGATGGCTACTTATATACACCCGCACACGTTTCCTGTTTCACCTGACCTTGTTCTGCCCTTCACAGCCTCTTCATTTCCCTGTTTCCTGCTCTGACAGCTGCGGGGGCCTGATAACGCTCTCTGGAAAGGAAAGCTAATGGGATATCATAACTGGTTTCTAAGAAATAGATTGGAGGGGGGTGGGGAGGGCAGCATTTATAAATCAGCCGGCAAGATTACATCTGAGAAACACTACAGTAAACCCATCCAGCTCTGAGCCCATTCCTTGCTGGCTCTGCCTGGTTTTCCTGGGGGGGTTTAGAGATTCATCTTGAGATTATGGAAACTGGAGAAAGACAGCTCTTTGCTACTCTGCTCTTGTCCCCATAGGCAACATCCTGGCAACATAAGGCAGCACTGCGCTGCCTTGGTTGATCTAGAGAGCTGTGATGGTGGCCCCCAGCCTGCTGACTGCTCCCTCAAAGGCCGTGTGTTGAAGAGACGTATTGTAGGTAAGATCTCTCGGCCATGCCCAGTGGGTCTCTGACCAGGCTGATCCTTTTGTCTCCCCTGTGCAACTTTTCACAGGGGGTCACCACAGCCTTGGAGCCTGGGATAGCCCATGGGAACCTGACAAGAGCCTTTGGACAAGCCCTGGGACACGTTGGTAGATGTTGGGTATCTGTGCTACTCCATTGATCTCTAATTGCCTAGGGGAGACTGGACTCTTCAGGCCAATGAGCCTTGATTGCAGCTTACACTGCTCTTTTGGAGCTGTCCCATGGCCCTAGTGAAAGGACAACTTGACTCCCTCAACATCTCCATGGGCATCAATGAGCTATGGAGCATCTCTCATCCAAGCCCAGATCTTCGGGAACCACTCCAGAGTGGCGCCTCTTGTGCCTTGAAACCTCTCCTTGGGGAGTTTATTGCTATGTAATGGCCATGGAGTTGCTAGCTTCACCTCTGGAGGGAGAAGATGCGGCCGAGCAGCCACAAAGCTGGCCTGCAGCTCCTGCAGCGGAGAGGCCTACCCTACTCCAGATGTGACCAGTGTCCTATGTGTAGGGGTTCACAGGATTTCACTCTAATCCTAATCCCCAGCCCACACCAAATTTGTAACCAAACACCAGCTTCTTGAGCCAGTCTTTATCAAGCCAGGCCAGAGACTTGAGCTATGGATGGGGCTTACCTCTAGTAATGGAACCGACTAGAGGAGGATTATTCGATTCCTTCAAAGCTAAAGACCCTGGGAGGACCGTACCTTCAGGAATATTTTTGTCTTCCCAATCTGCCAGTCATCGTCTTTCCCTAGCACCGCTTCAGCGATCCGCTGGCATGTCCCACGCAGGTCCCCCTAGGAGAAGGAAGTCATTGGGATCTGCCAGTCATAAGCTGGACATGAACATCTGCCTGCTATCAATGCAGGGCTGCATTCTGCCTGGGCCCCCACCTATTTTACGCTGCGGTAATTTTGGTGATTTTAACAGAGTAATCCTCACGTGCAGGTTTCCTTCTACCACCTGAGCTAGATGCACGGTTTGAAGCTAAGCATCTGACACTCAGTCTCAATTCCTTATCCACGATGCTGACCGTCACTGCCGACTGTAGTGTGTGTACAGTGTACATGCAGTCATGGAGGAAGGCCTGTATCTCTCAGGGGCACAACGTACTGGAGAGAGGCAGGGTCTGGATGCACTGTGTTTTCAGTAAGGTACCAGTGGACTGGCTGCAGGGTAAAAATGGCTTGTAATGGGAGGAAACATGTACCTGCTTATATGCCGGCTTCACCCCTGGCATGAGGACGCGGTATCTGTCGACAAACTCTACGAAGGTGTAGCGGATGGGATAGCCAGCTCGGCGGATCCGGATCGTCTCCATCATCCCCGAGTACCTCAGCTGGCGAACACACAGCTCCCGGTCAAACAACTGAGGAAGGAAACAGTGGATGGGAATCAAGAGGGTCTTGTTTGCATTTCAAAACTCGCTGCCCTGCCAAAGGGTGCAACCACCAGAGCCCAGCTAAGGATAGGCTGGATGTAGTAGATCTGCTGGAGCCTCAGAGGGGGCAAAAGGGCAGGAGACAGATTGGACCTTTGCTCTATAGTCCTGAAGCATTCAGGATCACAGTTTTTTACAACCCTAATCCTAAAAGGGGCTGAGTGCATTCAGTTCAGCCCTTTGGTTTAATACCTGCATAAGAACGGAAGAGCTGCTGTACTGATCTTGGGTCCATCTAAGCCCAGTAGTATCCTGTTCCTCATGGTATCAGATGCTAAGGGGCAGAGTTTTAAAGCAGGGCATATCCAGAAAGATCTGCCCCCTGCCCCTCTCCCTCTGACAGCTTCCAGCAATGGAAATGAGAAACCACCTGGGATATACTATACTATAAAGAACTGAAAGGTCCAGGCAAGGCTTTTTAGACACTGCTCATATGAAAGACCTCTCCTTACAGAAGAGATGAACCCATTTTGGGTTGCTTGCAGGGCAGTGGTAACAGAAGCCTAAGCTGTAACTGAGCCTGACGACTTTGAAGTGCTCTCATTGATTTTCATGCTCTTGTTCATTAACTCCGGATGCACAATCAGAGCTTTAGGCATCCGGATGCCCACACAAGTATTGGAGCACCTCCGAGGCTTTTATGTATTGAACCTACCCATGCCCCTGGCAGGGTAGGGGGGTATTACATTATAGATGGGGAGTGCCAGGAGGTATCAGCCCTGAGGAGCTAGGCTTTTAAGACATCAGGCCAAACACAGAGAAGGGGCCTAAACCAGTCCAGTATCTGAGTGGGTATCTGGGAATGAAGAGTATCTGGGAATGAAGTGAAGCCTGTCTTGGAAGAGCTGGAGCACACGTGGGATTTCATAAGTTTGATAGCCCTGAGTGATGGAGCTTGCCTAAACACCTGCTGGTAAAACTTTCTTACCAAGGCACCTTTTCTCTCTTGTTGCCTCCAGACACTTCAGAGACAACAGTTAATCAAAGGGATTACAGGCAGATCAGCTGAAGTGCAGGGATGGTAAATGAGCTAGCTACTGTTGGCTCAATGAATCAATACAAGGGATCCCAGCCTCCCTGGGAGGTACTGGTGTTGGCTGCAGTGAAGGCTGGGCAGGGTGTGCCAGTGCTCCTGCTGAGAGCAAAGGCAGAGGCTGCTGGCTACAGGGTCTTGCCCCTCTGCTCAGGGACAAACTGATCACCATACTTGGGGCGAGGAAGGACCCATGGTCATATTGGTATGGACTGTGTGGGTTTTAACCTTCCTCTGTAATGGGGGACATGGCCCTCTACCAGTGATCTGAGTAATCTTAACAAGCTTTTATGGAAGCAGGACCTTGGCTGCCATAGTTCCCCTGCTTTACCTGTGACAGGTGAGGGTTTTATGTTGTGCTGTGTCAGGGTTGAGCATTGGTGATGCGAATGCAACCCGCGTGCACCCCCTGAGATCAGCCGTGCACTCCCTGGAAGTGCCAGCGGTGAAACGGGAAGTGCACTTCTGGCTTCACCGCTGGTTTGGTGATCGGTGGCTGGGGGACCCCCACCCCGTCGGCGATCTGGCGCCCCCCCCACACTCAGGAGGCACCAGTTGCCCATGGGGTTGAGAGTAGTTTTGTATAGAGTCTAGATTATGGTTGTCTGGCATGGTTTGGATAGGGCTGATCCTGCCTCAAGCAGGGGGTTGGACTACATGACCTCTGGAGGACTCTTCCAGCCCCACTTCTCTAGTCTACAATTCCATGATCACAGGGACATTCATCATGAATAGTTGCATACAGCAGCATCAAGCTGGCCAGGAGCATCAGTGATCTCAGGGTTAGGCCCCAGTTCAGGAACTAAGGAGTTAAGCATGTGCATTACTTGGAGGGTATGAACAGCATCCTTGCAATCAATGAGGCAACTCAGGAGCTTAAGGACTTTCGTGAATCCAGGCCTCACTGAGCTGATGTATTATACAGTGCCAGCAGTTTATTGATTTTCTTTTCTTTCCTCCCACACACTATTTAATTAATCCCATTCATTTCCTTCATACCAACTACAGCAGCACGCAAAGAGGCAGAGACAGCAGAGCATGGGAACTCGTCCGACTAAGAGGAATCCCTCTGACAGTTGCGAAAAATCAAAGTCTTCTTCCAAAGTAAATTTTAGGGATGGAAGGAGGTGACACCCCCCCCCAGCAAGCTAGGGACACATTTTAAACTCCTGTGGAATAACAAATGACCAGGACTTTCCATTGGCCTTTCACTTCCTGCCGTCCTGTTTCCTATCGTGATCATGACGCTTTCCTTTATCACTCGGGGCAGAAAATGAACTCCCAGACAAATGTTTTTCTTGCACTCCCCTATGTCCCATTACCCGATTTCTTTTTCTTTTCAGTTCTGAATGTTTAAAGCCAATTCTGAAAACAACCCTTTTCCCTTTTAGTGCGAAATCCCATTATAACATTGTACTGCATTGCAAGCGACTGGCAAGATCAGTCCCACTGAAGTCTCTTTTGGATCCATCTTGCTGTTCTCCTGTTCGCTCTCCCACTTCATACGTTATTCTGCTCTGCTAAGCTGCTCTTAGCCTTTTTTGGGAAAGGCAGCATATAAACTGAACAAACCACCACGTTATTAAATATAATTCTTTTGCTTTTGGATTAAGTTTCATTCTGCTGACATCAGGTAGCTACTGCCGTGAGTAGCAAGATCTGGCCCTTAAACTGCTGTGAAAGAGATGCAAGATCCTTTTTTGCCTTTCTTACCAAATTTTGTCCGTCCCCCGCCCCTAATTCTCCACGGTTAAATTCTGTCCGCAAATGGTAAGCCAGGATAGAGGTGTAACCGAGGGCAGAATTTGGCCCTTGTCTGTGTAACTTGAAAAGACACCAGTCATGGATAAAATAACTTTCAGGGACAATCAGTAAACAGAAAATGTAATAAGTAAAACGGCTGCTCTACATATTAGCAAACACCAGTGATTGTTCCTAATTCCTGGGTCCAGTCCTGAGAGCTGAGGACGCTCACGTGGAGTTCGATATCTCAGAGTCCCTGTGTACCCGGGGGTCCCAGCAGAAATTTGGCCTGGATGGCAGAACCAGAGTCTAAAGATTTTAGTCACTCTGGTATTTACGGGTGTTTCCTTTCCTTTCATTCAGTAATTAAAACCTGTCCTGAAAGTGCAAATTGATTTTGAAGAAGCCAGGGCAAATGCAAATAAATGTGTCACTGTTTTATAGCATATCCGTGATGGGTGAGTAATTATTTTTCTTGATTTATGGCTGCTGGCACAATCCACTGAGTAAAAACACACATTTAACATTCTGCTAACAGAGATGGATGGATGTTCACCAGATGAAGATGTAAAACGTGAGCAGGCCTCTCTCTATCATTTACTCTCCATGTCCTCGGGGTTTGTTGTTGAAAATGCCCCTTATCTTTCAGCCATCCCTTTTAATTTCCAAAATTCCTGTTCAGTCCTACAAGTCTGACTCCCCAAAACGTCAAACAGAATCAAACAGGGTTGAAGCCAAGGAGGTTCTTAGAGAAACTAAAGAAGATTCAATTGAAATCTCCCCCCCCAAAAACCCTACTGAAGGAGATCATCCCTATAAAACATGTAAACTAGTGGTTTTCAAATGGTGGGGTGCACCCTCCAGGGGATGTGGAGAAACATTTGGGGGGGGACGCCATGCACAAAGCATATTTTACTTTTTAAAAATTATTATTCTTATATAACAAGAACGTGATATTTGACAGCATCACGTGTTGAAACAGTACGAGTGAACGTTTTGCAAAGGATTTCACAGGTGTTGCAATGTATTTAATTAAGCCACCGATCATTTCCATAGCAACAACTACATTATTTCCCGGCTTCCGGGTTAGTCTATCCTATTTACGCTTACAACTCAAAAAAAGGACAACAAGCATTTGTGCATTGCAGTTTATTTTGCTGGTGAGTTCAGTATTTTTCATACGATTCCAGGGTGAAAAGGGATCGGGGTCGGTTAAAAAAAATCTCTCCACAAATTGATAAACTGTCTGCAGCAAACGGGCACACCCTTCACATGAACTGGTAAGTACAGTCTCCGTGCATTTGAAACTTAGAGGGGTAGGTCATTTAATTGGGTAATTTAAGTCGTTTCAGTATCTGGTAATTTCAGAAAGCATATTCGGCATGTTTGCTTTTTGTCTGGATTGAGGCAGGGGGGAGGCATGAATAAAACCGTACCTCAAAGGGGGACTCAGCTCAGAAAGTTTGAAAACTGCTGGTTTCAATCATCCTGTAAAACTGAACGTGAGATGATATTTCTGCTCCAGGGTGCTGCGTCTTGATTTAATCATTTGATAGAAAGCCTCTGTTTCTCTCTAGAAATCTATAGGGGCTTTCCATAAGCGTCCCATACCGGGGCTCTATGGCTCACTCAGCTGAACTGAGGGGTCCCAGAGGCAGACTGCATGATTTCCATGAGATGTGCCAAGAGGACAGTGCCCTGCAAGCCCTCCTGCAGTAGGAGAAGCCCTTCGTGACCTCAAAGCAGGTGTCCAAGTCGGGGTTCAAGCAACTTGGGTGAAAGCCTGACTCCACTGAAATCAGAGGGAGTTTTGCTTTCAGCTTGAACGGCTCCTCCCTATTGTACCATAGCAAGAAAAGATGAAATGGGCACTTACCAGGGGCTTCTTATATTCATTGGGTTTGATGCAGCGGACGAAGAAGGGCTGGCACACGCTGAGGGTTCGCATCAGCAGCTCCAGCGAGCGCTTGAATTGGCTGCTGAGCGTCGGCGAGCGCTTCCTCGTCTCCGCTCCCTGGAAAAGAGAGGAACCCCAACCAATCTGTCTCAGGAAATGAAAGGATAACACAGCTTTTCCCCTCTGGCCGGCTCACTGCGAACCTCCTCCACAGCTGGAGGGGGCTTGGGGAGGAGCTGCGCAGTGCAGGGAAGTGCGAGGAAGCAACGAGGGAGCGTGAGGCCCCTACAGAAATGGTGTGATGTAGGGGCAGGGCCGAGATAGCTCTGTTTCTGGAAACTGCATAGTGTGGCGGGGAGCGTCCCTGGTGCTTTCAGGGTTATGTTTTGCTGTAGGTTGGGCCAAACCCATGGCTGGTATCAGTCAACCCAGCTCTATTTATAACGACTGGTCGTCCCTCTACCAGCTTTGCATAGCACGTGTGGCATGAGACCCAGGCAGCCAAAGTTGGCTTCTGAAGTCTGTGCCTAGTGAGGACTAGAGGAAATCCCTGTGCATGCACCTGCACTGCCTCTTTAGGCTTCACTGGAAAGGGAAAACCATAGTTTTTTTCTCCTATGGGCTAAAACGCTGCTAGCTGCAGGGCTGAGGTGTCCTATGGGGGGTCAGACTAGAGGATCTAACACCCCCCGTCCCCAGCATTAAGATCTGGTAAGACTTGGGCCATGCTTCTATGCAGGGGATTAAAAGGGCAGCACAGCACCCTGTCTCTACATTGGCATAGGCTACATGGACCATGGGTGCAGCCTGCTCCACCATGCCAGCAGTGATGTAACTTGGGGCTAGCGTCAGGCCAGGCTTCTAATATTGGCCCTAGCTCTTATGTTGGACCCATTGGGCCAATCGAGTCATTAAATCCTACTAGGGCATTTCACAGCGACTCTGAATCGAGGATTTCTGGACCCCCAGGGAAAGCTGGCAACAACTATCTATTCGCCGCAGTTTCCACCAATGTGGATGGACGGAGGGAGCACCTTACCTGCGTTTAGAAGGGGTTATTAACACGACTCGAGTTAACTTATGGTGAGCGTGGGGGACTTTGTGAATGTTTTCCCCAAATGTAAAACCTATACAAGGCCTGGATCCCTGCCTGAGGGCTTCTTCAAAGAAATAGTTACATTCCCCCCTGCAAGTCCCTTCTTGCATGGTGAAGACTAGACAGAGCATATGTTTCAAAAGTTTTGCAAGGTTTGGCCTAAGCGAAACGCAGCAGAATTTTATCTGAACCGCCGTTATCAACGACTTTTTATCATGAATAATGGCGGGGTAGGGCATCAACTTCTCCAACACTTTGCTATTTATCCATCATTGAAAAGCCCAAAAAATTCCATATACCCTGGCCCAGGGCATCTACTGTATATCTCCATAGCGTCTCACATTTTAAGGCAGTTTATAGGGGTAGCAGGCAATGCGACTGGGTTGTAGGATGAGTTGGGTATCATATACCTAACTCCTGAAAAAGAAGCTGGTTTTCAGTCATGGGACAGCCAAGGTCACCATGGGATAGTCTACCCCTATGTCATGGGCTGATCTGATCATTAGGGGTTTCTGAAAGGAGAGTAGGTTGGGATTTCCCAAATGCCTTATTCAGAATCCTTATTCTGCTGTACCTTCTCCAAAGGCCTGGGGTGCTATGCTGGGCAGTGTCCAACGGTTACAGGTACAACTGGCTACCATCTTCATTGGTGTGGCTGCTATGTTTCTCTAAGACCCCAAACTAATTTCTCTTTCTATTGTTAAAAGTACCCGTGGCCCTTGTCTTTGGGCACTGCATTACATAGGCAACCGGCAATCCGTTGGATGTCATCACAGGTGAAGATTTTGCACGCTGCAAAACTATCAGGGATGTTACACAACGGTGATCACAAATTTCTATACAACCAAACCCAATCAACACAAAGACAAAGGCATCGTGGAGTTGCACAAGAGAAAGTGAACAGTTAAAACCCAGCTCATGCACACACCAGAAAAACCCAACACCACTAGGAAAATAGAGCTTACTGGAACAGCTATTATCTTTCCCAGCAAACCTCCCCTCAAGGACACATTACTAACATGTTTAATTTATGTTGACAGACACAGTCCTGACCCCTCCGAGTACTGTCTAGCTGGTGATATTATCCTGTTCACAGAGATTGATTGGATGAGGGCAGACTGAATCAGCAATAATCCTGCTCAGATAGGCAGGAGTGTGAATGCTTTGATTAATGTCATCTTATAGCTTTGCTAATTCAGGGGATGTGGTCACCTCGAGAGCAGCACTTGCAGGCTGGTTGCTCAAGGGGTTATAAATAGATACTGTGAAAGGAACCAGACTCAATCAATTCCCACTTTGGAAGTGACTGGGCATTATAATCTTTCTGGCCAGCTTGGGAGATGTTCTTGGTCACTGGTGGTTTATAAGAAGCCTTCTACCACTTTCCAGGACCTCCTACAAAGGGGAACGCTGGGGCTGCTTGTGGTGGAGGGCAATTCTACTTTCCAGAGTGCTTCCCAGCTCTTGCTCAACGTTGGGTTCCCCACTTGCCACGTGCGCAGGGGCAGGCTGCTGGGTTCAGTCTCAGACACTCGCCTGGTTCATCGCTGAAAGTTGTAAGACAATTAATTCAGGTTCCAAATGCTCTATACATGGGCAGGGCTTACAAGGCCCATGCCATTATCAAATCAGCTGAAAGCATCTGATGGGACTGCAGCATCTCATTGGCCCACACAGCCTCTGTGCCACTCATCCAAAGGCTGCTATGAATGCTAAAGTGCTATAAAGACTAGCCTCAGGGATCCTAAATGGCATTTAAACTACACAGCCCATCTAAGACAAGCTCTTGGGTCAGGTTTTCCATCTACTTCTGCCAGTGTAGCTCCACTGAAGGCAGGATCTAATGCATATGGTATATAGCAATACATATACATATACATATACATATATATACATATATATATATACACACACACACACACACACATATGTATGTATGTATGTATGTGTGTGTGTGTATGTGTATATATGTATGTATGTATGTGTGTGTATGTGTATATATACACACACACATACATATATATACACATACACACACACACACACACATATATATACACACACACACACACATTTGTGTGAGGTGCTGAGTGAGGGAGCCAATGAGGCCCACAGACTACACAGTGAAAGGACTTGGAGTCTATTCCCAACTCAATTACTGGGCTGCTGGATCTTGGGCGAGTCACTTCCCCTCCTGATATTACTACTAGTAATGCAGTAGCAGCTGGAGAGGCCAGCTGAGAGGCATACCCCATCAGGCTAGGCCTTGTACCTTCCCAGAGAAAGGGAGCCCCTGCCTTGAAGGCCTTGTAAAACAAACAGACAAAATAGAGACAGAGTGGGAGGGGAAACTGAGGCACAGAGCACTGAAGTGACCTGTTCTTAGGGCAGTCACAGAGTAACAATCTCATGCCATAATTATTACCTGGTCTCTCAGTGCCACCATTTCCTCAGCTGAAATTGGGTAATTATGCAAAGGTCATTACGGTAACTCCTATCACAGCTACTCCATGGTCAAGGCTCTATTGGGTTGGAAACTGTCTGGACACATGGGGAACCTATACATGAGCAGACTCGATTAATTGAGGAGGTAATTACTGCTCCAGCTTGTTCGATGAGCTTTAGTTAAAGCACCTCTGCTGACATTTTTAAGTGTGGGGACACTGATACATGAGATGTTCTGGGTGCTTTAATTAGAGTGGCTCTAATTAAAGCGCCCCCCCTGTACCCACTCCCGGAGCATGTGTATAAACACCCTTAATGAAGAGGCAGGCCTTGCCTCAAAGAGCTCACAAACTTGCAAAGTGGTTCAACACTGTGTTTTTCCTTTGCGCCTACTATTTTTAACTAATTCCTTTTAAAATAAGATTATTTTAAGTCAGAAGAAAGAGAGAGAGAAAAGAAATGAGCTTTATTTCTTGTGTTGCTTGCTTCAACCAGAAGCCCAGGAAGAGGCTTTTCTAATGCATTCTCTACATTTGCAGCCCATTATGTCTCAGTCTAGAAGGGATTTTTTGGTGTGATGCAAATTTACAAACGTAGAGATGGGCCCAGCGTAAATTCGACCGTCCCAACACCACTGGTATTTTTGACAGCAAATTCCAAATTGGGCGCAAACGGATGTGAATTGTTTCAACCAGGGTCTCTTCTCTTCGTCACCCACGTTGGAAATCTAAGTCCAGATCCCTTGGGACACTGCACCCCCGGGAAGGGTTGGAATTCAGATCCACGTCTGCATCTGAATTTTGAAAGTCAGGCCCATCTCTGATATAACCCCCCTGATACTGGAGGATTATAATGGAAATGGAGATATGACAACAATGCTAATACCACAAACATAACTCTATTACACAATATGCTATCCTATGACCATTCATCTAACAGGAAAGATGTGGAAAGCTGTCAGGACCGGAGCGAAGGCACAAGGTTAGTGTAGGAGGATCACATATCCAGTCTGGATAAGCACCCAAAAGCTTGATACTTACTGTAAGAGGTCTTCTGGAGCTGCGGGATTAAGCCTGAGCTATTTCGAGAACAAGCCACAAGCTGGCTTGGAAGAAGACTGGCGCTGCCAACAGAGCCGGGAATATAATCAAACCACTTCCTCCTTCGTATGTCAGCCCTTCCTGTCCTAAACGGACCTCTGAAAGGCTGAGCCGAGTGAACGTGACATTGGCCCGGATCCTCAACTCGTGGAAATGAGCACTGTTATGCTGGAGCTATGCTGATTTGCACCAGTTGAAATTTTGGCCCATCAAAATGTCAAATGATAGCTTACCAAAGTTATTCAAGAGCTCAGGAAAACAAGCGTTTGGGTTTGAAGCACAAAGTTTTGGTCTGGTTCTGATTTTATCCCAACCCCTTTTTCTAATCATTGCTGGATCCTTTGCTGCACCTAAGTGCTCCTTTGTTGAATGCAACAAATGCACAAAACGCACAACACTCCTGCATCGGACCAACAAATCCGAACCACGCGCGTGGTCATTTAAAACAGGTCCTTAGCAAACAACACAGGGAAAAGAAAGAACCAGCCAAGAGCACAGCACAGTACTTAGCAGAGAGAAAGGAACATACAACAGAGGAACTCGTGTATTTATTTTACCTTTGGAGTGGGTGCTGGCGACTGGCCATAAGTACTGGATGCATAGCCACAGAGAAACTAGAGGGAGCAAAGGCAAAAAGAAGAGACAGAGAACAGAAAAAAAAAACAGTGAAAAGGAGGAATACCTGAGAAGGGAGCTCTGAGCTTGTAAAACCTCGAGACTTGGCACTAGCCATATGGCAACAGAAAAAAGAGCGAACTCTTAGGGACTTTTCTATCCCTGTCCTCACCCCTTCCATTGGCCAACATTTCTTCCTTCTCCTTCTCCTTGGTTTTTCTCCTTTTGGTGAAAGATGCTTCTTCCTGCAGCTCTTGTTGCTTGGAACAACTTTCCTATACCTTTCCATCTCACTGTGGGTTCTCCAAACTGAGAAGTTTCTAAGAGCAGGCTAGGAAAACGCTTGGATGAGATGGGTTAGACAGGACTGATCCTGCCTTGAGCAACGGGTTGGAGCAGACGACCTCCTGATGCCCCTACCAGGTCTATTTTTCCTGTGATCCCTTTTTAAAATCCTTTGAGGAAACACATCTGTTCTCCTTTGTCTTCCATAGTTTTAGTAGTGAGTTGGCTAGAAATCACTGAAATCAAAATGTCACCAAACCTCCAATTAAATTTCCCTAACTCTTTTCCCTCTTTCCTCCTATGTTTAGCTAAGTCGGTCGCAAATTCACAGAAATACTTTTTTTGTGTGCAAATAACAAAAATAAAATTGCTAACTCTTGTTCTTTCCCCACCAGCCAGCTGTAACTTTTAATCTTGCATTCCCAGTTGCCAGTAATGTACCCCCTGTAACTATCCCAGCTAACTTTATCAAATGCTTTGCTGTACTGCCCCCAACCTAGGGAGGTAGTCCGTCTCCTCAATCCCCACCAAATCTGATATCTTGCAAGAATAAGCTGTAGGAAAGACACTATATACAGCAAGGCTCCAACTGTGCAAACACACGTGCAAATACTTCATATGACAGGACAGGTTGTGGACAGAAAGTTACTTGCATGCATAAATGCTGGTCCGGAATTGCATTCTCGTGTAGCAACACTTAGCACTCAACTCCCAGGCTATGCTCTGTGCTAAGATTAGGTTGATCAAATGTCATGCTTTAAAGCTGAACCAGAGGTTTGCATCTAAGTACGGCCTTCCACTAATGACTAGATGCATTATGGCTTTTCCCAGCTCCCACTAAAGCATCCAAGTAATTGTTGCTGGAGACAGGATATTAGATTTGATTGATCTGTGGCTAGCTCGGTTACAGAAACTTCTATGTGAGTCTCTTGGCAAAAATATCCATAGATTGTTTCATCAAGGCTCAGCACCAGGACTACATGCAAACCACAAAGAAACTCTCAGCCCAAGCTTTTGGGCGCAGAGGCAAGGTAGTGCACGAAGTTGGCATGCTCGCATTGATGCTCGGTGGCTTGTTCTTAGTGGATATAGTTCAAGCGAATAATTTCAAAGCCAAACAAAGTTGGTTCAGGGGAGACACCAACATTATTTCAAACTGTTAAAAACAGGTTCATTTCCTTGCAGTTTTGTTTCACCACTTTTTTGCAGGTCCAAAAATGGCCCGGGGCTTTCGGAGGCTTCTTCCCAATGGTACGGTCGGTAAGCAGGGCTGTCACAACATTTTTTCTGCTGCAGTTTCTTATCGGTCAGGAATGATCAAATCTCTTACTCAGAAAAGAAGAGCAGAGATGATTAGCATACCGAAGGGTGAAGACCAACCTTAGGGACAGAGTCAGAAGAAGGTCAGCACCCCCACAGATGGCTACCACTGGAAGAGAAGGGATTATTTCAAGAAAGCATCATTCTCAATGTCTGTACCATAGGCAAGGCCAGGTTGGGAGACAGCTCGGCTGTGGGGAGACAGATCACAACTCTACTTTATAGCTGGCTGACGGCAGCAGCTGAAACTTAATCATGGTCTCCTGCTGTACGTATCACTGAAGGAGTCTGAGCGACTGTGGATCCTAAGGATCATCTCTGCAAAGTCAAAAGCCTACTCAGTTTTAAACTGGAGTTTTCTGTTCAGTCCACAACTGAGCAAGAAATCATTTGCAAGGTGAACTGCAAAACTCAGGCTGCCAATTAAGAGGCAAGGATGCAACACAGAAAAAGAAAAATGCCGCCGAAAATTTTCAAAATGTGCTGTGACATTTAAAAGTATTTCCCCAGTTTCACGTGCATGAATGCTGTCATCACGATGGGTAGGTGAACAGATCTAGTCCCTATTTTGCTCCTGCTGAGGATTTTTGTCCCGGGGGCAGTGGGAATGGGAAACATATTTGGAAAGTGCCTAAATATTATTTTCAGAAGTATCCTGGGTACTCGGGAAACTGGTGGAGTGGACTGATATTAGGAACCTAATTTATGATATTTTGGCACTTACCGAAAATCCCACTGTTAGGAGTCAAAGTCACATAAACTGTCAGTGGCACAGAGTCCTAAGTGCTTAGGTCACTTTGGAAAATATAATGCAGGTTTCTAAGTCATGTAGTTTCTTTGGAAAGTGTTACCTCTAAATCTTCTGAAATCTCAAGATACCACTGAACAGAGGAAAGCAGGATTTGGCCATTAGGTAACACACATAAAGAGGTCAATGTACAAGTGCTGCCCATTTAACATTTTAAAAACTAAATTTGTGAAAAGCAAGTTTCTCTTTTCTTTTGGGACTCAGGGTTGCTGAGCCACAGCAAAGCCAAGGTAGACTGCACATGCTCAGGAAAAGATATCAGTTGTCTGCATTATCAGAGAAACGGTCTATGATCCCTTAATTAAAGCCGGTGTTGCAGTGATGCAAATTCACTAGGGGACAGAGTTCTTGTTTTATTTCAGCCTTACTACTAGGAGGATCCAACTATTCAAAACTCACATAATTAACAATGACTAGCCTGGGCATTTTGCATGGAGTTGATATATGCTCACTCAGGGGATCATGGTTTAGGAACAGAATAAGCGTTACTAAGCTTCAGTGGTCCAAACTTCCACCAGCCCCTCTCAATCTTACCCTCAGTGATTGCTTGGAGTCAAATGAAGCTATGTATCACTTCGCTCTTCATCTGGTTGGTAACTGTTCAATACCTTTTTGCAGTCTTAGAATATACCCTTTTGGTTTTCTTCCTTTTTATAACTCGCTTGCTACCCAGCAGTAGCTATTTCTTTATCTTACGCATTTATAAAATAATAATCCCCATAGCTCCAAACAGTGCAGCACCTAGATTAAGAGCAATTATCTCCTGATACAATAGTTAATGACTTGATCTACTGATTTGTAACTACTAGAGAGAATGTATCCAGAACTGTTAATTATTTAACACTGTTCAGTCACTCCGCGACAACCACAGGAGGAAAGTACAACGTACAGTATCATCCCTACATGTTTCCTCACCCCTTCAACCTCCCACCCAAGAAACCCGACTATTTGTGAATGGACTATAAAGTATCTCTTCAGGTGTGTATTACCATAGCCACATCAGCTTGGAAGATCTGCTTGATGAATTTGTTTCTTGAAGAATGGACCAGCTGAATGATGTCTCCATGAAGCGTGTCCCTGTTTTTCTCCAAAAACCCTACAAGAATAATGGAACAACATGTACCGGTGATGTACAGAAATACAGCTAATACCTGCATGGCAGCCAGCTGCCCATCCTCTGTCACTTTGCTAGTCTTGTGGTAATGGTGAGTAAAGTCCTTAATGTGTAACCCAAAGCCCACTAGAGTGCATGGAAGTCTTTCTATTGACTTCGACCAGCTGCAGAGCAGCAGTGATGAAAACGTGGCCTTCGGCTTTCCATTGCTGTTGTAGCTATTATTAATAATCTTGCTTATAGCAGTTCTGAGGGACTAGTTGGGAAAAGGGCCCCATGGGCGCACAGAATAGCAGGCTGTTCCCTCTGCAAGAAGTTTACAGTCTAAATAGCCAAAATACTGGGGTCCTTAAGGGTTGATAGCTCCTGGCATCCACCTTCGGGATGGCTGGCCCAAGCTCATTTCTCCTCCTTGTGCTTTGCCCCCCACAGAGGGCCCTGAAGTCTGAATGGGGCCTGACGTTTCAAACATGGCAGTGCTGTGTTAATGGCAGGCCACGGTACAACAGGAACAGGTGTTGGCACATGTGAGCTAGCTGTCCTCTGGCTAGTCCTGGTACTGTAGTAGCAAAGCCCTGGCAGTATGAAGCCCTTCAACCACTCAATCTGGACTGGCGTCCTGCTTAGGATGATGCGGTTTGTGCTGAAATCCATGCTGCTGCAGCTGCACTAATATTAGTACCAGATGCAGGCAAATTAAAGTGGAGTTGGGCATGTCTGTGTGTGTTGCAACCACATCTCTGCGGGGTTGACATAGTCAGACTCTCTCATGTATACACATGCACGCACACACCCGCACACACACTTTTCCCAGGCAATCAAATCCGGCGGGAACAACACCACAAATTATTTCTGTTTCCAGGATTCTCTCCTCCCAGGGCCCTTCCTCAACACTTTTGCTTCAACAGCAGAAATCACCCCACAAGCAGCCAAGCAATTTCCAAAGCAAACCTCCTTTACCTTTTGTTTCATAGTAGACTATCCCAGCAAAGTGGTTAATCCCAAACTGGGTTTCGTAGTTATTCTTTGGAGGAATGTAGTTGGTGTTAAGCTTGTGCTGGGAATTCAGTTTATGCAGCATTGTGGTATCTGTACCCTACACACGTAAGAAAAAGCCCAAAACATAATCACCGCTGGTCCTATGGAAATAGGTTTCACGTGATCATTTTGTTCCTTTTTTACAACAGTGGGGCAGATGGACTGGGAGGAAACTTGAGAAGGATAATTCACAGGCAAATGCCTTTGGTATTTTATATATGAAATAGCACTGGGTAGAAGACTATGGTTAATGGCATGACATTTTTCTCCATGACCCTTGACGCAGGTGATTCCAGAGAGCTCATCAGATCCCACTGCAAATAAGCCTTAGCCACCCTAAGTACTGATCTGTTTGCAACAATGACAGTGCATACAACCAGCCCATTCTAGCCCATCTAGGATGCCCTTTAGAGATTGATTTAACTCTGAATATCCCCAATCCGTTCACAGGACATTAACTGAGATGGCAGCCATCTCAAATGCACCCAGCTGGTTATATTTATCCAAAGAGGGAACAGGAACAATACCATGTGACTGAAGCATCCCATCATACAATGTTAGTTTCATAAACACCGGTCCCACCACCCGTGCGCTAGGCTGTGTTGCCATGCAACTTGGGGCAGATAACTTAGAGCAGTTAATCTGTAATAACCTGAGACGGTCTGCAAACTCAGAGAGGTGTGGAAGTGAGGGGGCTGCTAGAACAAGCCATTGGCCCAGAGCGTACCTTAGGGAACTTGCTCTCCTCATCAATGAGCGAGATGATATTCATGGGTTTGACAGCAATCATATCCAGGGCGTCCTGGTTGTCAGTGAACTCGATGTGCTGCCAGTTGATGTTCTCCAGGTTGTATTCCTCCTGCTCCAGCTTGAAGACGTGGCGCACAAAGAACTGCTGCAGATTCTCATTTGCAAAGTTAATGCACAGCTGTTCGAAGCTGGGGAGGGAAGGGTGACGGAGAGTCAGCTTGGGGTCACAGCACCCACCTTGTTTCCTGTTTTCTAAGGGAACTCTCAAGCACTAGGCGAGATAGATAGTGGCTGAGTTGTAACTAAAAAAGAAGTGAACCCGCCACTGGACAACTAGCACCATGTGGGCTGTGTCTGATGATATCCCATCCATGTCTTGGCCTGCCTCAGCTCAATCTGGCTTAGCCTGCAAAACTGGGTCTGAGTGCATAGTAAGGTAGACTAGTTTGGGGTACTGAGGAAGAGAGAGGGTCTTGCAATGTGCCCTCCAGCTTCGTACCTGTTCACAGTGAAGTTCTCAAAGCCGAAGATATCAAGAAGCCCAATGGACCTCCTGACATTTTTGAGTTCTTGGGAGGGAGGCCTGTAAATGGCAGCATTAATCTTCTCTACAATCCACACAAAAAGTCGCCCATAGATTCCCTGAAAAAAACAAAGAGATGTTGCTCAGGGAAACACAGCTGGTGGGCATCTGGCTGTCATCCGGGGGGGATCAGCTCTCCTCAATAAGGACCCAGGACCTGGACTTTCCATCATTACACTTGTATCCCAGAAGACTGCCACGCTGGCTTAAATCTGTAATAACCATCTTGCAGTTGAGGAGCAATCTGCCTACAGGTACGGGTTACAGTCAACCGAGAGCAAATTCCCAGATCCGAACACTCTCAAACATTGGTGGGGCTCGAATCTATAGCTCTAGTTTGTATCCACAGGCTCACAGAATCCCAGGTCAATAGACAAATGTTGAAATACCCATCTATACTGCTGACAGTGCTCCGCTTTCGACCTGGCATGATTACCTATAGCAGGTAGATCAGTAGAGATAGCAAATATAGGGTGCTTTGTCCAGATACGATACTATTTCCTTAAATATCACAGCATTGGCCAATCAGCACTAATTGGTGCTGGCTCGGCATTACAGGCATTACTTTCTGTTACAGAATTCAAGACAGCACGTACACAGGGAACTGGTGGACCCGGAAGTCCAGCACCTCAATAGCTAAGGAACTGACCTGGGGGCTGGCTCAGTGTCATTTCCTTGAGGTTCAGGAAAGCTCGGACCTGCGGTTCTGGCTCCTCCCTTGAATCCTGTGTGAGTCCAGATTTCAAACCTCCTGAGGAGGAGGGTGTTCAGGTGTGGGACTCCCCTGTAGGTCCATCTCAGCCTACTGCACAGAGCTCTGTCCTGTGCATGATATCTACATTGTGTCTCACTTACCAGTGCAATGACTTCCAGGCCAGCAGGAACCACTGATGATGTGAGCTGAGCTCCAATGCAACATTGGCCGCACTGGAGTATGACCATTATGACCATTTTACCCAAGGACTGGTACATGCACCTCCATCACCTCCAAGCAAGGGAGAATCCAAAAAAATGGTAGGTTTCTTTTATTGCAAAGAGAATGAGTGCGCCTTGGGCATTACCTTTACGAAAGCGTCCCTCACATCCAGCGCCTGCTCCATGCTGAGCGGGGTGGAGACCGTCTCTCCTCTGGTGATGATGGTACGGCTAGTGAGGCAGTTCTTCACATCCTGAGGCTCCACCTGACCAACCAAACACAGTTGTCACAAGGGCCGGGGTGATCCTGCTTCAGGCAGGGGGCTGCACTAAATGACCTCCGGATGTCCCTCCCAATCCTGCTCTATGCTTCAATGATACCTACATCTGCAGTGGTTCAGTTTAGGGGGAAATTAGTAATAAATAATTTGCTTTCAAATACAAACAGGCGCTGGTGGAGCCAGGTCCAAACTGACCCCCTAGGCACCCCAAGATGTAGGTGCCTGGCACCAGGAATATGATCCAGATGGACAGGATTAGGGACTAGGACCCTTACACTGTGAATGGGAGGTCCTGGGCACCAGCCAGGGGGCAACTGAGACTGCACACATGCTGAGTGGGGAGAGATCAACCACAAGCTGTTATGAAACACTAAGCACATTGGTGTGTCTGGACTCCTGCTTCTCCTCAAAGCGTAGGCCTCCCTCCATCCCCTTTGGATCCAGAGTGCCTGAGGGCTGCTCTAATTGACATTACGCTCTCTTCTAGTCTGGCCGCTGAAGGTGGCTGGGACCTGCTGGTAGGTGCAACATGGGATGCTGCCACACCAGCCAGGTTTGTGCCACCTGGAAAACTCCTTATACACTGGTGTGCTCCCCAGAGGGAAGATCCAGCCAGTTTAGGGACACCTTACACTGCTAGAGCAAAGCAGCAGGACCATACCTGGTCCCTTCGCCCATGCACAGAACATCCAATGTGATGGGATTCCCAATATAAGGCAACAGCAATCAGAGGAGCAAACCCGCACGGTAATAATATGGGGGAGCAACTGACCTCCAGCAATGAAGCTGCAGTGATTAACGATGCAGACTGCAGGACCTCGCAGGCATCCAGGTTATCGTACGTCCGAGCTGCAGGGGAAGATGGCAGGGAAAACCAGTGCAGAAGCTGCCTGTGTGGCCATTCCCTTTTCATTCAGGTCATGCAGGCTTTTCTCTCTCCTGCTGACTCTCACAGTACCTCTCCTGCCCTTCTGCTCCGAGGACAGGCTGGAGATGGGGCGTGAAGCCCAGGGCTCAGCTATGGATTGGGGGGGAAGAGGCAGAAACCCTTCCCCGTGTCTCAGTTCCCCATCTTTTAGAGGGGATAATAGCACTTCTCTCCACGCAGGGGTGTAGCAATGGTAAACACTTTCGGGATCGCAAATGGATCAGATTCTACTTTACTGGAAGCCACAGAAGTCATTAAGGGCAGAGAGATTTAGATCCCACTTCAAAAAGACTATAACAGTCTGGTTCACAGAGGCTGTTCCCACCGACAGTGGGAAAGTCAAGGGATAACCTCAACTCTGGCTATAGCCTCCGTGGGGCACGGGCAAGGTCCTTCAAGCTTCGCTTAAGTCTTGCCACATAGAATATGTTGCATGACTTCGTCTGACTGGCTTCACTGTCCTGGAGGTGTGACATCATCTGAGTTATTTCATCCTCAAAAATAAACCACCAGGCAACTCTTACCTTCGTACCGCAGGTTGCCCATGTGCAGTATGGCAGCCAGAAGCTTTGAGATCTCCCAGTTCTCAGTGTCCGTGAACATCAGGACTTTCATGGCAGAGCGAATGTTTGCATACTCCTTACTGTCATCTCTGCCGTCGCAGGTGGTACAGTTACCCTGGGAAGGAAAAGCAGTCATCACCTGGCACACGTGGCGCACCTAAGAAACCGTGCGCGCTCAATAGTAACAGGTATAACAGATCTCTGATTTCCCACTGAAATCAATAGGACACATCTCATAAATCCTCAGTCCTTCCTCAGCCAACTTCCACCTGAAGTCAGGGAGCCTCTCGGCTCAACTCGTAATGGTTGGAGAGGACTCAATCTTCTGCAGAGATGCGTGACTCTCTGGGCCTAAAGCATGCAAAAGATTTCCCTCCGGCTTCTTCTTTAAACCTCCCATAATGAAAAAGCAGTGAGTAAAACCTGCCTACTTGTAAGGGCCTCTATTTATACTTATACTGTGGAGCATGGTTCAAACAGTGGTTTGACCTACAGAGGTATCACTGCCAGCGGCTACCCATCATCTGGTTGAGGGGAGGGCACAGTGGAGGAAGGGCTGGCAGAAATCAAAGGAAGACAGAGACAGGGGATACATGTGAGAGGTCCCACTGGGCTGGGGCATGCACCTAAAGTCATGGCAGACTTCACAGTGCTAGGCTGTCTTGTAGCTCTAGCTATCAGAGGCACCTTTTGTCATCTCCAGCTGTACGGCTGCTAATCAGCCTTGCTCATGATAACTCGCTAATTGATCGTTCATGCCTTCACTGCTTCCTGCTTGGGTTATGGCATTAAAATGGATGTGGGCTTAAGAGCACCGCCACAGGTGGTGAAGAACGCAAGAGCCCACCGACCCGGTGATGCCAGCTACTAAGTGCGCCCCCTCCCTGCTCTCCACTCATCCCACCAGCTTCTGGCAAAACCTCAGGTCATGTATAAGGCTTCAGTCCTCATTTCTGAGTACATGGCCCTGAACTCCTGGCACGCTCCAACATCTGACTGTCCCAGCCCTCAGACTCCACGCATTGGAGTCAGTCTGAGAAGCAGGACTCTCGGGGTAGTCGCCGACTGTGCGTCTCTCTCCTGCAGGAACAAAGTGCTACCATAAGCCCCTGGTCTGGATGCAAGCTTGTAATGAGCCTCCAAACAGCCCCATGTGAACTACACGATTTCAGGGCACGTTTTTCCCCACTGTAAGTCGAACTCCCTTGTTAGGACAAGCCACAGGATCCAAGCTATTCCCTCATCTCCCCCGCTGGACCTTGTTCTGCCACTCTCACCATAGCAAGGTAGTTATAATCGGTGGCTTTCCCAAGACCCAGCTTCTTTTTCTGTTCTGGTGTCATTCCTTTCAGCATACAGTAAAACACGTGGTAATTCCTCTCATCGTGGGCCTGAAGGAGAAGAGGACATGGTTAGTACTGCTAGGAAGACGAAGCTGATGAATGCCAAGAGCCTCTCCGGTTCCCCCAGAAGAGCCTCACCTGTCGGCAGACGCGGGACTTCTCCAGCAGATACTGCTCGATCTTCGCCCCTTCAATGGCACCCCGCTTGTTGAAATGGATGTCGATGTATTTACCGAACCGGCTGGAGTTGTCATTACGAATCGTCTTTGCATTGCCAAAAGCTGTGGGTAACAACACAACGGAGCAAAGCTGAGACCTGTAACCAGCTCAGGAAGGAGCCTGTGTGTTTATTCCAGGGTGACAAAAAGCAAAAAAACTCAATGGAGAAAGGATGGCTCAGGAGGGCGGGAGTAGGCTACCAGAGCCTTTTGCCCTGCAGGTCCTCAGATCCGGTCCAACGGAGATGTTTCAGGTACAAAATAGAGGCAAGGGGGAAAGGTAGGAAAGACTCAACATTTGCCCAGCCAGGAGGTGGTGCGATGATCTGAGCAGTGGTTGAGAGAGAGGGATGATTTTGGATGGGCATTAGTGGGGTAAGTTCAGAGAGGCCCAACAGGAGGCAAAAGCGTGATCTTGTAAGGTCCTGTCCAGCCTCTGACACCTAGGAATTTATGAATTACTACATCTGAGGTGGGAAACAATAGACACGGGGGAAAGCAACTAGGACTTGGGACAGAAAACAGGGAGTGGATCCTCCCTGGAAACTAACCACTGGAGGGCACCTTTCCCCCATAAGCCTACTACGAATACATGGCATTAGCGAGACGAATTAATTGTAGTAGTAACTCAAGGAATACAGAGCTCAAATAAAGCATACGGGTGCAGCACGATCTACATACATAGAGGACTAATGGAAAATCAAACTGAACGGGATGTGTGTGTTTTTTTTTCTTCTTAATGCCAAGAAATATGAAGATTTTTCTCCCTCCATTTGGGCTGTTGTTCTGATGTATTTGTATGGTTGTAGCACCTAGGAGCTCCACTCCGGGACCAGAAACCCATTGGACAGCTGGGTGTTAACAAACACAGGACAGACAGATGGTCCCTGCTGCAGAGAGCTGACAACTTTGCCTACAGATGTTCCCATAAAAAGAGCACCTATTGAATGCATATTTTGTACGGGTCAATAAAGTGGGTTGCCTGGCACAGACTGCCAACAGCTGGTATAAAAAGGGTAACACCACAGACTCCTCATCTCATTTTCTTCTGTGCAAGAAGATACAGCAATGCTCATTTGCTAAAAGCTTCAAGCCACTGCATTGGAAAAAGAAGGCTAATTCATTTACCCCACAAATTAGAGACCTAACACTGAATGCCCTTAAATCTTATTACTGCACTGATACTGAGTGTGTTCTCACTGAAATAAGATGGTCCTCTTGTTATAGATTCATAGATGTTAGGGCTGGAAGGGACCTCGGAAGATCATCGAGTCCAGCCCCCTGCCCAAGGGGCAGGAAGTCAGCTGGGGTCATAGGATCCCAGCAAGATACACATCCAAATTTCTCTTGAAGGCGTTCAAAGTGGGTGCTTGAACCACCTCCGATGGCAGGCTGTTCCAGACCTTGGGTGATGAAATTCTTCCTTATGTCCAGCCTGAAATGGTCTTGCAGGGGTTTATAACCATTTGACCTTGTCATCCCTTGGGGCGCTCTGGTGAACAGATGTCCATTATCTAGATGTCCCATGGGTTGCCTTCCCACAACTACCATGATGCACGGCATCACGTTTTCCAAAACACCAAATTTGGCCCAAATGATACATCTCTGTGAAACGTTTTGCTGTCACCAGATCTCTGCATTTTGAGAGAAAAGGGTGGTGTGTGAAAAAATGTGCCTGGATCTGCTGTTAAGCATTTGCAGTTCTGGCCCTTGCTGGGAAGAAAGCATGTAAAAAGTAGTTCCATCGTAGTTCCCCACTAATGCCCTTCCAACGATTTGTGTATTTTTTATGACAGCAAAAGTCGTGCACCTCACCCAGCATCTCCTCAGGGCTCACCTTCCAATATGGGGTTGGCCTCCAGCACCTGCTGCTCAATCCAAGAATGCTGCCCACTGATGGCAGCCAGGAACTGGAGAATCAGTTTGGTGCTCTCCGTCTTCCCTGCACCGGATTCACCACTAAAGTGGGAAGGAACATATAGAAGTAAATGTCCCGCCACCACCACAGCCTGGACCTTGAACTCTGCATCCAAGCAGACTGGAAACCCCCCAGGCCTCTGTTCTCAGCATAGGTAAGCCCAAGCCATTGAATTTGGATTTTCAACACAGCAAATGTGGGGATCTGCTTGAACAAGGAGATTGTGTGAAGCTGATTACAGGAGTAGAAGCCCATGGCATCCTTAGGATCTACATCTGATTTCAGATCAGGAGCAAGCTGCACCCAGGTTCTGCGGTGCTTGGAGCTAAGGTTTGCATCATGCCTATCCCCATCTTCCACATCATTACAAAGCCAATTCAGCTCCTTATGTAGAGTTTAGATTATTGTTTGTATAAGGTTGATCCTGTCTCAGGTAGGGGGTTGGACTAGATGATCTCTGTAGCCCTCCAGCCCTACTTCTCCACGACTCTGTGATTCCTCTCTGCAGACTCTAAACATCAAGGACACATCTATGCCACATCTGGTCCATAACACGAAGTAATCCAGAGAAGCATGACACATGCACTACACGCTAAAATGGATGCAATGAGACACCACAGAGCAGGCTGTGCATACACTAATACGTTCAGTGCCTTGGGTGTGTTATTGGTGCATGCCCAGCATTGGGTTACATCCACTTTGGTGCTCCTGGAGTGGATGTGCCATGCTTCACAATGAGGCAACTTAGCAGTTTCCACTGACAGTCTGGACACACCCCAAGAAGCAAGAGAAGTCAGCAGAAGTGAGAGATTTCCAAATTATGCTCTGTAGGGCATGGGTTTATGATTCAGGGAGAACTGGTTGCTTGCATTTAAACAAGCTCTTTCCCTTGATTCAAGCCACTGGTCTGCATTAGAAGAGAGTGACAGTCTCTCTATACTTGTAAGACATTACCTTCCCATCGAAGCTGGTTCTATAGAGACCACAGAGATTTCATGCTGTTGGAGCAAATCCATGGGAAAAGTAAATATGAGAGGAGTCCTGCCAGACCTTCTCTTTACTGAAATCTGACCCATATTATGAAAGAGTTTGGGAGCCCCTGCTTTACGGCCCAGTCCTAGGATCCAGGATTATCCCATAGAGCAGGTTGTCCCACTGATTTTACAAGACCTACTCCAGAATAAGGTGCTGCTCACATGATGGGCATAATGAGGCTGTTAGGTAGCACAAGTGGTTAACCCCAGGATAAGTGATGGCTGGATGCAGGGATTCATGGGTATGATGCTATCATGGGGGTTACATCAGGGGCCAAACAAGGTGATTGAGATGGTCCTCCTGGCCTTGAACTCTATAGGTCTCTGCATCAGTAATTAAGGAATAAACAGGATGAACTATAAAGGGAAAAGCTGCAAACAAATATCAGGAGAATAACCAAAGGAATGGTAGAAGCTTCATCACTTGCAACCTTAAATCTAGGACTGACAAAAGGTAGGCACTGGATCATCTAAAAGGTCTTGTCCACCTTTAACTCCAATGGTAGAAGACAATTTTTAAGGTTGGTCCATGGACTCTGAACCCTCTCAACCCTATGTGACTCCCCAGCAGGAGCCAGGCAGCATGGAGATACCAACCTAGCCTATGCTCCACGATGTGGATAAATGTTCTCTCAATCTTAATCTCCAGTGTTGGCTACCTTGGTCTCTCCACAAGCAATGAAGTCATGGGTGCTCAGCAGCTTATGCAGGCTGGACTCCTGGGCTCAACGCTCCCAAACCCACCTTATGATGCAGCACTGATCCTTATTGTTGCGCTGCATGTTGAAGTAACAATTGTCAGCAATTGCGAAGATATGAGGCGGCATCTCCCCGATCTTCTTGTTGGTGTACAGGCGTATCTGCTCAGGCGAGTATATGGGTAAGAGCTGGTAGGGGTTCACTGCCACTAGGATGGATCCTGTATACGTCTAGAGGAGAAACACACCAAGGTTTATCAGGGCCAGTTTCAACCTGTGGCCATTGCTGCAAAAACATGGCCAGAGCTAGCAGACACCCAGGTTGATCACGTGCAACAGGAGAATGATGCATCCACTGCCCAGATGACGCAGGTATGTTATATCTCAGATACTCTGGAGCTGCTCTGGACAATGCCTTTGGTCCACCTCCTACAACACTGTGCAAAGTTACTGTACAATATTCCCTCAAGACCTGGCCTTATTTTGTTATGGGGCAAGAAAGGCTGCAAGGAGCCTTCTCCCTAGCACAGATGTGCAGAGAGCAGCCTTCATTTGTCAGACGTGCTGGGGAGCAGGCAGGTCAGGCCAACAACACTAGTGACCCCCAAGTAGGAGTCTCTGGGCATGGGATAGTCATAAACTCATCCCTAATAAGTCCTGGCAGGGTGGCTCTGCTGTTAGCACACAGGGTGGCTTATTAAAAGCTGCTTCTTGCTAAGCTTCTCTCTACTATCTCTAGAGGGGATGTTTAGCAATGTCTCTAGGCAGCACAGGAAACGGTGCCTCTCTTTTCTCATCCATTGTCCCACAGGCTATGATTACATGAAATGATTATGGCCGTTGACTGTGATCCAAGCTGCATATCCTAAGAAAAAGGTGGGGTGAGCAGTAGTGCTAAGATTGATGCGGGCACCACAGTGCAGCATCTCTAACGCATGCAACCATAGCAGTCAGTGGTTAGGGCAGAAAAAATCCCCTTGTAATCTTCCACTTTGAAGATCTCTATGGTTCTAGAGGGTTTCTCCCCCAACTGGGCAGATTGGTACAGCCTGTGGGGGGTTTTGGCTTTCTCAGATCTCTTGACTGTATATTAGCCACCTTTGCAGCAGCAGGATGTTGGCTGTTGTGGTCCCCCTGCTTTACTTGTGGCAGGTTTGGGTGGTATGTCTTGTGTTGTGTCAGGGTTCACTGTGTAGTTTTGCGCCAAGTTTAGACAATGTTTTGGATAGGGATGATCTTCCCTCTGGCAGGGGGTTGGACAAGGCTGAGGTCCCTTCCAGCCCTACTTCTCTATGACCCTATGACTTAATTCTAGCCGGTGAAGGAATCTGACTAATGGGAAAATATCCGTACACTTCCCATTCGAAAACAGCCTCCAGACCTAACTAGCCAAGGCAAGGATTACATATCCTGATCCAAAAGCCGAGGAGAAAAATCAGGGTCAAAATCCTTCCTATCCTGGTGGAACCAGTGCTGCAGAGTTGGTCATTTAAATGCAAAATAAAAGGCCCTATATCCTTGTATTAGCATGCTGTAATGTCAGCAGATGGGCCTTTGGCATGAAGAAGAAAAGCAGCACATGCAATGAAAACCTCCGGTGAGCAACCTTCAAGTCCTCTTTGGGGTCCGATGGACTTTTAACATTGGTGGGAGCCAGCTGGGAATGTAGCAATGGTGGGTACTTTGCAGTGGGAAACAGACCCTTTGCACAATGACCAGTGGTGTTTTTGCAGTGGGCTCCAGGCAATTAAAATAAGCTGGCCTGCATTGGCAAGGTCAACCAGTGCTTACGCAGCTGGTGCCGCCAGGCAGGCCTTGGGTTCCTAGATAATGACCCATGCTTTCGGGCGAGGGACTTGCTGGGGTGGGATGGGCTTCACCTCTCTCCTAAAGGCAAGCGTGTCTTCTCTTCCAGGTTGGCTGATCTTGTACGGTGAGCTTTAAACTTGCCTTGCAGTGGGAGGGAGCTGCAGGAAGACGAGGAGACACCACCCGAGCAAGATGGGTGACAAATGGAAGGAGTGCCCACGTAAGAAACGGGTCCAGACAGTCTCCCAAATCGGGGGGTAGCACATGCAGCCAGGCAGGGCCTTAAATGCCTACTTACCAATGCTCGTAGCATGGGGAACAAACAGGAGGAACTCG